GGGCCACGATGGGGAACGACGTACTCGAGAGACCCTGCGTCGCCAGTATCTCTGGCCCAAATTGGCACAAGACGTGGCGGCCTGGGTACAGGGCTGCCGCGCCTGTCAGCAGTGCGGGCCGAAACCGGCACGATACCAGGTACCCCTAAGGCCGTTCCGCGTCAGCCGCACGAATCAGCTGGTCGGGATCGACCTACAGGGGCCATTCCCGCGATCCCATCGAGGCAACCGATATATCCTAGTCGCAGTAGAGTATTTCACCCGCTACCCCGTGGCAGTGGCCATCCCTGATAAAACGGCCTTGGTGGTGGCCCGGGCATTTGTGGAACACTACGTACTTAAGCACGGGATCCCAGAACGAGTCCTCACCGACCAGGGTAGCGAGTTCGAGGCCGAGTTGTTCCAGGCACTGTGCCGAGAGTTCGGAATCCAGAAGGACCGAACCACAGCGTACCACCCCCAGGCGAACGGGATGGTGGAGCGCATGAATCAGACCTTAGCGGGGAAACTCAAACGTATGGCGGCCGCAAATCAACGGGATTGGGATGAACACCTCCCCTACGCCCTTTTCGCCTACGCCACCACCGTACACACGTCGACGGGGCAAACCCCGTTTTTGATGATGTTCGGCCGTGAGTCTCGTTTACCCGCAGATCTGCTATTCGGCGTCCCTTCCCCCCAGCCGGAGGAGGGAAGCCGCCCCGTGGAACACCTGTTGGAGACCCTGCGAGAAGCCCGAGGCCGAGCATACCCGCAAGGGGAAGCCGCGCATCGGCGGCAGGAACAGGGCACCCGACCCCGCATGGAACCCCCCTTATTCCTGACAGGCGCTAAGGTGTGGCTACACACCCCTCGCGTCGGGGCCGGGCAGGTGGGGAAACTGACGACCTACTGGCGGGGACCCTGGACCGTGGTGCGACAGATCTCCCCCTGGACGGTACTAATTGATGGCGGGGAGAGGGGTCGAGAGACGGTGGTCAATGTCCGCCGCTTAAAACCGTGGAAAGCGGCCCCGGCGAGAGAGAACCCCGTCACCCGAAGGCCCCGAAATCCTGGAGTACCCGCATCCCCCGTGCCCGGGGGCCTCGCGCAGTATATGGGCCCCACGGAGCCCAGGGCTCCGAGGGGCCCCGGGCGGGGCCGGGGGCGACGAGGACGGCGACCCTTAAACCCCACCGCCTCTGAGTTTGTTCCCCAGCCCGCAGGTGCCAGGGGCCGAGGGGAGCCGTTGGAATGGAGGAGGAGACCACCGCCGGAGCCCCAGGAGACGGAGCCGCCACCCCCGAGGCCAGCCACAATGGCCGGGCGAATCCCACGGACCCCGCGGCGATACCTCGTGGGGGCAACCCAGGCGAGGTGCTCCAGTCAACCCGGGACGGGGACTGGCACCCCGGGGGGCTATGTGGTGCCACAGCGACGGGGCCGCTCTGCCGAGCCAGGGAGCCGCCCGGCTTCCCCCACCGCACTGCCCCCCCCCATCACCCCCCCCCCCCACATAAGCACACACCCGCACGCATTCCCCCCCCCCCCCCCCATAGAGCTGGAAGGGAAGGTTACCTGATCGACCGGTTTTTATCCGAGAGACCCTTATCGGGATTAATTCTCACGGTTTCCGGCGATCAGGGAATTGGATGACCTCCCCCGTGCTACGTGGCACCGCGGCGCTGCGGCCGGCCTTAATATGGTGTGGTCGCGGCGTGGGGCATTCGGCCACCGCGGTTGAGGCGCATTTCCCCCCACACACGCGAGTATCGACGGGGCAGGCAGAGGGAATAAGCATTGTGATGGAGGAGCTTCATTAGAAAACACGCAGGCACCATTATTAGGGGAGTTAAAGGAGAAGGCTATTAGTATGAATAACCTGGAGAGCAGGGTCACGCGGGCAGCCGTGCACAAATTCCCACGGCGCGCCTTTGTGATGGACACCGCCGCATGAACCTCGATGACGGGGGCCTGCGTGAGAAAAGGATTGATTGGAATTTGCGCCGTGCAGGTCGCTCATTGATTAGCGGAACAAAGGCACCGCGGAGCTGCCTGGCCCGGGCGAGGGGGGCGCGTGCCATTGTTTGGAGTTCACGCCGCGCGGACAACGGATTAATTAGCATAGCGAAGGCGCACGATGCGTGGGAAGGGGGTAGGGGTCCGGGAATCAGGATAAATGGAGAGCGCAGAGGGGAAATCGCTCTCTTACTCCAGCGCCAGGCGACCAGACGCAGCTCCAGCCAGCGACCCGGACGTCCGTGAGACGCACCGAGGCACGCGGTGAGCACAAGGATCAGCGGACCGCCGTGGACACTTAACAGTGAGTAAGAAGGTGAATTAGAATCATAGCAGATAAATCGGGAATAGGTATAGAGGTATCAGCGTAGGCCAGCCTCGTCGACTCACTGATTTAACATCTAGTTCCAGGTAGCGGATAATAAATCATTAATAGCGAAGCGTGGTCTCGTGTGATCTCGTGTTATAAGTGTGAACGCGTGTGGTACGGTGTATGCGTAAGCTCGCGGCGTGCGTAATCGGCGTACCCCAGGTGCGCGATCATAACGTGAGCGGCCAGCAGGCGGCGAGCGCTGCGCAGAGCGGCGCGAGAGTGGGTATCGCGTGTGGAGCTGTATGCGTGTGTGCGCGCACGTTCACTACGTGTATAATACAGGTGCGCGACCCTAACGTGAGTGGGCTGTGTTGAGTGAGTGCCGCGCAGAGCTGTGTGTGGGTGTGCGCGTACGTAATTAACCATGCCTATTACGCGGACCCGTGGGGGAGGGGAATCCTCGAGCGACGGCTCTCACCCCATGGGTGAAGAACCCAACAGCGGTTCGCCTAGTAGCGAGGGGGCGAGTAATGAGGTTAATAATGAGGTTAACCCGGCCGTTAGCGGTACAGATGGAGGGATCTCGGGGGCCAGCGACCCCCACATATGCATGGCAGGGGCGTCCTCCTCCCTGAGTCCAGCATTGTTGATTGCATACCTCCATCAAGACTTTTAAAGTATGAGATTAAGAGCGAGATATCTTTTTTATTTGTATTATTTTAATATTTCCATTCTACGTGACTTTACCGAAAGAACCAAGAAGATAAGTGCAAGATAGCTGTCCAGCGATGTCACTGCCAGATCACTTCCATAAATTTGAATACATCGGCTCTGTAACATCACTGGAGCACGGTGACAGGGCCTGACTAGTTGTTTTTGCCTCGATGCACCACCTAACCACCTCCAATTCTCAACAACAATTAATCAATGCCTGGGGTAGCAGGGTTAGTGTGGAATATCCCAAGCCAAATTCGATTATTTTGTAAAATTTCCGTGGTGCAATTTATTATAAAAGCCCGGCGTTCCGTTTGTCGGTCAACTCAATTATGAGAGCCTTTCAAAAGGCCTGAATCAGAAAGTTATAGAAAGTGACCCCCCCCCTACACACCCTACATACAATAAAGTAAGTAGTATCTGCACACATTGGGGGGGGGGGGGGTAAAGAGGACATCAGTGGGGGCGACGGCAATAGGCCGCAGAAATTCTAGTTTTAAGGAAAAAGCATGGGCCTCGTGTCAAGCTGAGCGAGATGCCACTGACAATGCCCATCTCATTTAGACGTTGATCCCACGATGTCACAATTCATTTATAGGGCATGCAAACAAGCATACAGCTTCTAGATTTGAAGTTTTCGTGACTGCAAGGATCGGTAAAGTCACGTAGGTGAAAAAAAAGAAAAAAATGTAATTAAACCACGACGTTTCGGAGGCAACACAAGCTTCCGTCTTCAGGTGGAACCGTCACAGCAAAGTTACTGTATCAAGTGAAGAGAGTTCTAAGAGACACGACCTTAAATACTGGTTAGGGGGAGGAGCCAGGATGGGCCGTGAGGGGGGGGGGGTGTAAGCTAGTGAGAAAACGCCTGACGCTGCAGCTGCGGACACGACTGGAGCTTTGTGATGTAGATGGCAGAAGTAGATAAGCAAGCTAGGATTAAGCCGCCTTTTGTTATACAGCTCCCGTACAGCTCCCTTCTCAAAGTACACCACGCAGCCCACTACCAGCGAACCACACAGTCCGGTTGGTGCTAACGTGGCTCAACACGACTGTCATAGAATCAATCAGATACCATTTTCTGAGTTTGGTCGTGGGAATGCAGTTTGTGTGCGTGTGTTGGGGGCCTTCCTAGCTGCTCGCTAACATCAGTTACCCCTACAGTCTGGTAAAAAGCTATACAGGGGATCTTTGTTTTTTTTTAGGGGAGTGGTAGTGTAGTGGATAGCGCACTGCACTGCTCCCCTTACCGGTAGCATGGTCGTTCGTGCACTGAGCTATGAAACCCAGCGGGTTTGAATCCCGCTTTCGTCTAACGCCAGTGGCGAAGATCCAAACCAGTCGAGTGCCTCTCCTAGGTTTGGTGCGGTGTTTAAATATCAGCAGTGGGGAGACAAATGCAATAGCCAGCAAAGGCTATGTGGGAGATCTTTGTCTTTCGATTTAAAGCTTTCGTGACTGCAGGGATTCATCTTCTTGGTTCTTTCGGTAAAGTCACGTAGAAGGGAAGTAATAAAATAATAAAAATAAAACATAATAAAATAAAATAATTCTCACGACGTTTCGGCTACAACGCAAGCAGCCGTCTTCAGGTGAAGAATGAGACACTGCCAAGCTAGGAGCATATATATAAGCTGGGTTGGAGGTGGAAGAAGAGCACCTTGATATGCACATTCTTTTTGTTAAGGCGCTCTTCTTCCACCTCCAACCCAGCTTATATATAAGCTCCTAGCTTGGCAGTGTCTCATTCTTCACCTGAAGACGGCTGCTTGCGTTGTAGCCGAAACGTCGTGAGAATTATTTTATTTTATTATGTTTTATTTTTATTATTTTATTACTTCCCTTCTACGTGACTTTACCGAAAGAACCAAGAAGATGAATCTTTGTCTTTATGTGCATTTGATTGCAGTCTCTCACTGAGATCCACCACCACCCTCCCCCACCCCTACCACGTTTTTCAGCTCTGCTCATTCACCGTTGCTCATGAACTCCATGATGAGGCTGGCAGGAGACTCGGAGACCATGGCAAGCAGGTTAATCAGCCGCTCGTGCCGCAAGGCGCCCATCATCCGCCCCTCCTCAAGCAGCTGCTCGTTGGTGATACCGTCTTTGCGAATCTTGATGGCCACCTGGCGGTTTTCGTACAGTCCTGCGGGGGTGAGGGGGAGGTGGGCGACCAGACAGAGTGGGTGAATGAGTCGGTAAGTGGATGGATGGATGAACGTGTCAGTTGATAAGTGATCACATCAATCCGTTTCATTAGACCTCATACTGTATCAAGTGATACACGAATAGCTGTGACGGTCCCACCTGAAGACGGAGACTTGTGCTGCCTCCGAAACGTCGTGATTTAATTGATTTATTTTCATTTATTATGAATTTATTTCTATATTTTTTTTACCTACGTGACTTTACCGAAAAAACCCAAGAGTATGAATCCTTGCAGTCACGAAAGCTTCAAATATAGACTCATTAGACCTCCTTTGCCAGTACCAAAATATAATAATAGGGTTTTTCCCCCTTTTTTCTGGCAACAAAACTGAAACCTTTTTACAAGGAATCATGTTACTGCATTAACCACACTACTTGTGGTCAAAATGCAAACAAAAACACACACTCTGATAATATTTGCATTGTCCTTGAAACTGATTGGTCCACACCAGAGACGGCTTTCTTTTGAGCCTCGTCTCAATTGGTGCTAGACCAGAGGACGCCAAAAGGCGCACAGCTCAAAGACAATGCACTATCAAAGTAATGAGGGCTCGGAGTGAGCATCTACATCATTAGATCTCCTTTGCCGGTACCAAAATATAATGATAGGGCAGGCCATGTGGCCAAATGACGAAAGTGTCATCTATATAGCTCTTCCACAAGGAAGGACGTAGGGTGGATGTCCGGATGGCATCTGTTTCAATTTTCTCTATGAAAACATTCGCTATCACTGGTGATAAGGGGGAACCCATAGGGGTACCTTCACTTTGTTTGTAGAAAGTACCATTACAGGTGAAGTAAGTGTTGGTAAGGCAGTGCTTAACCAGGGTAGGTACATCAGGATTTAGTCCATGTTGGACTACGTCTTCAATTATTGCTAAGGTGTCAGGTACAGGAACCTTGTTGAACAGAGAAACTACATCAGAGCTGATGAGCAAATCATCTGGGGACAGTGATATGCCCTTGATTAGAGAGACCAAGTGAGCTGAGTTAAGTACTGCGAGGTAGTCTTGCACGTGAATGGAAGCAAGCTATCAGACAGAAAACGGACCAGTTTGTAGGTAGGTGAGTTGATCGTGGAAACGATGGATTTTAGGAAGACCATAGAATCTAGGTGGTCTAGTAGCAGAAGGTTTTAGGGAAAGCCGTTTGAATGACAGCCTGGACAGGTGAAAGTCTGGATAGGTGAGCATGTGAATAAGATGAAAAGCTAAACCGGTGAGAGCCTGGACAGGTGAGAACTTAAAGAAATGAGAGCCTGAATGGGTGAGGGCCTCAGCAGGTGACAGCCTGGGCAGGTGAGCATCTGCACAGGTGAGAGCCTGTACTGGTGAGAGCCTGGACAAGTGAGAGGCTGAACAGGTGAGCCTTGAGCTGCTGCTTCGAGGTGGATGATGGTGCTGGGAGAGAGAGTTTCAGATGGATGCCTGTGCAACCACAAAGAAATGCCGCTCAGCCAAGGCAGTCCCGGTTCTGAGTACAATGAGCAAATTATTGGATATACTACTTAGGATGATTTAACACGTAGGCTTTCGCGACCAATATTTTTCATAATATAGGTTTTTGGGTCAGATCGCGTAATTTATAAATGTGTCGTAACCCTCCACCACCCGACACGGCCAAACAGTAAAGAAATGTGTCACGTTTTTCAAAGGACAAAATAATTGACTTCTTTAGCCCACCGGTGTGTTGAAGAGAGAATCAACAGCATTTTAAAATGTGAGTACGACATTTTAGCTGGTAATTACAATCAGCTTCATTGGGCAAGAATGGTGAAGCTCTCCTGTTGCTCCCGGTTTTATCAGCGAAACGTCGTACTAAAATTTTGAAATGCTGTTGATTCTCTCTTCAGCACACCGGTGGGCTAAAGAAGTGAATTATTTTGTCCTTTGAAAAACGTGACACATTTTTTACTGTTTGGCCGTGTCGGGTGGTGGAGGGTTACGACACATTTATAAATAACGCGATCTCACCCAAAAACCTATATTATGAATACGTAGGATGAGGCGGTTTGCTGATAGAAAGCGGGCATAGATTGATACTTCCAGTGGCTATTTTTTAAGCATGAAGAGACATGCAGAGAAGTAGAGGAAGGTTCTGAGCCTCGGCTAAATATTTAAAACTAAACCATGTATTTATTTTATGAGGAGGCCCACTGAGCTATTTCACTCTTTTTTCAGAAGTGACCTGGCCACAAATGATAGCTCAAAGAAGTGGCTTAGGATGCAGAAAGTTATAGCAGCCAAATACCTCTAAACGCATGTTTCTAAATGTGTAAAGAAAGAGGACCAGGAGAAAAATACACGCATGGATGTTAAGTCCAAAGCATGAATTGCTGGGGAGGAAGAGAGAGAGAGAGAGAGAGTTCCAGACCACAAGGGCAGGGGGTGAACCTTCTACTGACCTCTGTGGATGTCGGTGAAGGCTCCGATTTTGAGGAGGTCCTGCACGGTGAAGGATGTCTGTGGGACCATCGGGATCGGTGCAGGAGCAACGTCACTGTTTGATGGTGGTGGAGTCGAAACCGGCCTGTCTGTAGGCAAACCTGTGAGAAAAACCTGGGTTCATGCACTGGGACTTGTGACTCTTACTCAGAGGATTGATAATGGTCTGGGGCACTGAGACAATTACTGTTAATGCTTTAATTCCAACTCTTGGGGCGCCGCGGTGGTGAGACGTTTACTGCCTTGCCTGGTATACAGGAAGTCGTGGGTGTGATCCCAATTTGGAGTTTGCGTGTTCTTCTGATAGTCTCGTGGATTTTTCTCCGGATCCTCCAGCTTTTACCTTCGCATTTATAAACACGCATTCAGAGAATTGGGCTGCTATAAATGTATACCTGATAAGCCACTTCGTTAGGCCAGGTCACTTTAAAAAAAAGAGATGTATAGCTATCTGGTAAAATAAAAAATTGTTTAGTTTAAAAAAATATAAATAGTTTAGTGTTATAGTTTCTTAACTGAGTGTGAGCCAGCGCATGTCAGCTTAACTTAGCGTTCCTATCTAATCAATTAAACTTCCGCCCCTTTAAATTTCGATTTGAAGCTTTCGTGACTGCAGGGATTCATCTTCTTGGTTCTTTCGGTAAAGTCACGTAGAATGGAAATAATAAAAGAATAAAAATAAAACATAATAAAATAATTCTCACGACGATTCAGGCCACAACGCAAGCAGCCGTCCTCAGGTGAAGAACAGGTCCGTCGAAAAGACAGAGTCTGAATGACACGTCCTGGGCTTGGACCGCCCCTTTGTTCACGGATACCCCAATACCCTCCCCCCTCTCCTGCATAATGAATAGATGTTATCAATTGGCTCCACACGGCACCCCCCCCCCCCCTCTTACCCTATATAGTCGCGTTTCTCTACTAGTTCTCTTCACTGACTACAGTGATTTTGGCTGTAACGGTTCCACCTGAAGACGGAAGCTTGTGTTGCCTCCGAAACGTCGTGATTTAATTGAGTTGTTTTCATTTATTTTATTATTTATTTTTCACCTACGTGACTTTACCGAAAAAACCCAAAGAGTACGATTCCTTGCAGTCACGAAAGCTTCAAATCTAGAATCTTAACACCTATTTCGTTGCCAGAAAAAAGGGGAAAACCCTATTATCATATTTTGGTGCTGGCAAAGGAGGTCCCATGACGTAGTACCGAAAGAACCATATAATATCTCTCATGAGGTTTATATTGGCCAAGAGTCCTGAGGGCTGTACCTCTGAGGTGCTGTGTTGAAACACTGGGACTGGATGCATCTTAAGAGGTTCATCAATGGCCGTGTCAGAGTCCTGGGGCTGTACTTCTGAGGTTCTGTTGTAGCACTGGGACTGGATGAATCTTAGAAGGTTCATCAATGGCCATGTCAGAGTCCTGGGGCTGTACTTCTGAGGTTCTGTTGTAGCACTGGGACTGGATGAATCTTAGAAGGTTCATCAATGGCCATGTCAGAGTCCTGGGGCTGTACTTCTGAGGTGCTGTGTTGAACCACTGGGACTGGATGAATCTTAGAAGGTTCATAATGGCCGTGTCAGAGTCCTGGGGGCTGTCCCTCTGAGGTTCTGTGTTGTAGCACTGGGACTGGATGAATCTTCTGAGGTTCATAATGGCCATGTCAGAGTTCTGGGGCTGTCCCTCTGAGGTTCTGTGTTGTAGCACTGGGACTGGATGCATCTTAAGAGGTTCATCAATGGCCATGTCAGAGTCCTGGGGCTGTACTTCTGAGGTTGTGTTGTAGCACTGGGACTGGATGAATCTAAGAAGGTTCATAATGGCCGTGTCAGAGTCCTGGGGGCTGTACCTCTGAGGTTCTGTGTTGTAGCACTGGGACTGGATGAATCTTAGAAGGTTCATAATGGCCATGTCAGAGTCCTGGGGGCTGTCCCTCTGAGGTTCTGTGTTGATGCACTGGGACTGGATGAATCTTATGAGGTGCATCATGGCCGTGTCAGAGTCCTGGGGGTTGTCCCTCTGAGGTTCTGTGTTTATGCACTGGGACTGCATGAATCTTATGAGGTGCATCATGGCCATGTCAGAGTTCTGGGGGCTGTACCTCTGAGGTTCTGTGTTGAACCACTGGGACTGGATGAATCTTAGAAGGTTCATCAATGGCCATGTCAGAGTCCTGGGGGCTGTCCCTCTGAGGTGCTGTGTTGAACCACTGGGACTGGATGAATCTTAGAAGGTTCCTAATGACCATGTCAGAGTCCTAGGTGCTGTCCCTCTGAGGTTATGTGTTGTAGCACTGGGACTGGATGAATCTTAGAAGGTTCATAATGGCCGTGTCAGAGTCCTGGGGGCTGTCCCTCTGAGGTTCTGTGTTGTAGCACTGGGACTGGATGGATCTTAGAAGGTTCATCAATGGCCATGTCAGAGTCCTGGGGCTGTACTTCTGAGGTTCTGTTGTAGCACTGGGACTGGATGAATCTTAGAAGGTTCATCAATGGCCATGTCAGAGTCCTGGGGCTGTACTTCTGAGGTGCTGTGTTGAACCACTGGGACTGGATGAATCTTAGAAGGTTCATAATGGCCGTGTCAGAGTCCTGGGGGCTGTCCCTCTGAGGTTCTGTGTTGTAGCACTGGGACTGGATGAATCTTCTGAGGTTCATAATGGCCATGTCAGAGTTCTGGGGCTGTCCCTCTGAGGTTCTGTGTTGTAGCACTGGGACTGGATGCATTTTAAGAGGTTCATAATGGCCATGTCAGAGTCCTGGGGGCTGTCCCTCTGAGGTTCTGTGTTGATGCACTGGGACTGGATGAATCTTATGAGGTGCATCATGGCCGTGTCAGAGTCCTGGGGGTTGTCCCTCTGAGGTTCTGTGTTGATGCACTGGGACTGCATGAATCGTATGAGGTGCATCATGGCCATGTCAGAGTTCTGGGGGCTTTATCTCTGAGGTTCTGTGTTGAACCACTGGGACTGGATGAATCTTAGAAGGTTCATCAATGGCCATGTCAGAGTCCTGGGGGCTGTCCCTCTGAGGTGCTGTGTTGAACCACTGGGACTGGATGAATCTTAGAAGGTTCCTAATGACCATGTCAGAGTCCTAGGTGCTGTCCCTCTGAGGTTATGTGTTGTAGCACTGGGACTGGATGAATCTTAGAAGGTTCATAATGGCCGTGTCAGAGTCCTGGGGGCTGTCCCTCTGAGGTTCTGTGTTGTAGCACTGGGACTGGATGAATCTTAGAAGGTTCATAATGGCCATGTCAGAGTTCTGGGGCTGTCCCTCTGAGGTTCTGTGTTGTAGCACTGGGACTGGATGGATCTTAGAAGGTTCATACTGGCCATGTCAGAGTTCTGGGGCTGTCTCTCTGAGGTTGTGTTGAAGCACTGGGACTGGATGAATCTTAGAAGGTTCATAATGGCCATGTCAGAGTCCTGGGGGCTGTCCCTCTGAGGTTCTGTGTTGTAGCACTGGGACTGGATGACTCTTATATGGTTCATAATGGTCATGTCAGAGTCCTGGGGCTGTACCTCTGAGGTTCTGTGTTGAAGCACTGGGACTGGATGAATCTTAGAAGGTTCATCAATGGCCATGTCAGAGTCCTGGGGCTGTCCCTCTGAGGTTCTGTGTTGTAGCACTGGGACTGGATGAATTTTAGGAGGTTCATAATGGCCGTGTCAGAGTCCTGGGGCTGTCCCTCTGAGGTTCTGTGTTGAACCACTGGGACTGGATGAATCTTAGAAGGTTCATAATGGCCATGCCAGAGTCCTGGGGGCTGTCCTTCTGAGGTTCTGTGTTGTAGCACTGGGACTGGATGAATCTTAGAAGGTTCATAATGGCCATGCCAGAGTCCTGGGGCTGTACCTCTGAGGTTCTGTGTTGAAGCACTGGGACTTTATGAATCTTAGAAGGTTCATAATGGCCATGTCAGAGTTCTGGGGCTGTCCCTCTGAGGTTCTGTGTTATAGCACTGGGACTGGATGAATCATAGAAGGTTCATAATGGCCATGTCAGAGTTATAGGGCTGTACCTCTGAGCCCCTGTGTTGTAGCACTGGGACTGGATGAATCTTAGAAGGTTCATAATGGCCATGCCAGAGTCCTGGTGCTGTCCCTCTGAGGTTCTGTGTTGTAGCACTGGGACTGGATGAATCTTAGGAGGTTCATAATGGCCATGTCAGAGTCCTGGGTGCTGTACCTCTGAGGTCGTGTTGTAGCACTGGGACTGGATGAATCTTAGAAAGTTCCTAATGGCCATGCCAGAGTTCTGGGTGCTGTCCCTCTGAGGTTCTGTGTTGATGCACTGGGACTGGATGAATCTTATGAGGTGCATCATGGCCGTGTCAGAGTCCTGGGGGTTGTCCCTCTGAGGTTCTGTGTTGATGCACTGGGACTGCATGAATCGTATGAGGTGCATCATGGCCATGTCAGAGTTCTGGGGGCTTTATCTCTGAGGTTCTGTGTTGAACCACTGGGACTGGATGAATCTTAGAAGGTTCATCAATGGCCATGTCAGAGTCCTGGGGGCTGTCCCTCTGAGGTGCTGTGTTGAACCACTGGGACTGGATGAATCTTAGAAGGTTCCTAATGACCATGTCAGAGTCCTAGGTGCTGTCCCTCTGAGGTTATGTGTTGTAGCACTGGGACTGGATGAATCTTAGAAGGTTCATAATGGCCGTGTCAGAGTCCTGGGGGCTGTCCCTCTGAGGTTCTGTGTTGTAGCACTGGGACTGGATGAATCTTAGAAGGTTCATAATGGCCATGTCAGAGTTCTGGGGCTGTCCCTCTGAGGTTCTGTGTTGTAGCACTGGGACTGGATGGATCTTAGAAGGTTCATACTGGCCATGTCAGAGTTCTGGGGCTGTCTCTCTGAGGTTGTGTTGAAGCACTGGGACTGGATGAATCTTAGAAGGTTCATAATGGCCATGTCAGAGTCCTGGGGGCTGTCCCTCTGAGGTTCTGTGTTGTAGCACTGGGACTGGATGACTCTTATATGGTTCATAATGGTCATGTCAGAGTCCTGGGGCTGTACCTCTGAGGTTCTGTGTTGAAGCACTGGGACTGGATGAATCTTAGAAGGTTCATCAATGGCCATGTCAGAGTCCTGGGGCTGTCCCTCTGAGGTTCTGTGTTGTAGCACTGGGACTGGATGAATTTTAGGAGGTTCATAATGGCCGTGTCAGAGTCCTGGGGCTGTCCCTCTGAGGTTCTGTGTTGAACCACTGGGACTGGATGAATCTTAGAAGGTTCATAATGGCCATGCCAGAGTCCTGGGGGCTGTCCTTCTGAGGTTCTGTGTTGTAGCACTGGGACTGGATGAATCTTAGAAGGTTCATAATGGCCATGCCAGAGTCCTGGGGCTGTACCTCTGAGGTTCTGTGTTGAAGCACTGGGACTTTATGAATCTTAGAAGGTTCATAATGGCCATGTCAGAGTTCTGGGGCTGTCCCTCTGAGGTTCTGTGTTATAGCACTGGGACTGGATGAATCTTAGAAGGTTCATAATGGCCATGTCAGAGTTATAGGGCTGTACCTCTGAGCCCCTGTGTTGTAGCACTGGGACTGGATGAATCTTAGAAGGTTCATAATGGCCATGCCAGAGTCCTGGTGCTGTCCCTCTGAGGTTCTGTGTTGTAGCACTGGGACTGGATGAATCTTAGGAGGTTCATAATGGCCATGTCAGAGTCCTGGGTGCTGTACCTCTGAGGTCGTGTTGTAGCACTGGGACTGGATGAATCTTAGAAAGTTCCTAATGGCCATGCCAGAGTTCTGGGTGCTGTCCCTCTGAGGTTCTGTGTTGTAGCACTGGGACTGGATGAATCTTAGGAGGTTCCTAATGACCGTGCCTGTGCCCCGGGCCGCCTCGTCTCACCTTCTGTCACTGAGTTCAGCGATGAAATTGCCCTTTCCACAATCAGCTTCAAGGTTGTGTCAATGTTCTCACTCCTCCTGAAAGCACCGCCGGTCTGCAGGCTCTCATTCAAATCTTGATCTTTCAGCATCTGCAATTAATAAAGGGCACTTAATCATTCGATTCCCTTGGTAATCATCGTCACTATCATCTTCATCAGCCATGAACTTTTTACTGCTGGATAAAGGGGCCGTCCATAAATGACGTCACGCACCCGGGGGGGTGGGGGGGGTCAGACATTTCTGACGAGGGGGGAGGGGGTTTGAGAAATGTGACGTCACGTAAAAATGCGCAACTTCAAATAAATATAGATAACACGTTCTACTTAATTAATATACTTTTTAATAAATGTTTTCTCCTACAACATCAGAGTGTAGCGCCACACTAAATACGCACTACAAATGACGATAGTTTAAAGCGATTTGAAGCATGTTTTATTTTTTGGGGGGGGGGGGGGGCAAAGCTTCGTGACGTCATATTTGAGGGGGGGGGGTCTGACTTTTTGTGAGCCTTTGTTATGGAGAGGTGCGGTTTGTAACTAACACCTAGCATACATAACAAAAGTGTGAAAAAAGAAAGCAAGTAAAAACTAAAACTGGTAAAACAACAAACTGGCTGTCTATCAATAACCTGTAATAGTTGTCTGTCAAATAAGATGGTCCAAATAAGTATAGTTACATCTTTTTTGCATGGTTAATCACATCTTTCCAAATCTAGAATGCTACAGCTTGGTAATGTTTTTTTTTTTTGCCAGACGTCCCGTAGAGTAGTCTAGATCTCCTGGCATTATTCTAGATCTCTGGTCGTAACCTCTTTGAGCGACGTGTCTCCTGTGAAAGCCCATGAGTTAGAATGATCTCTAATTTATCTGTTCCTCTTTCTGACCCCCACCGTACTTCCAAGGATGCGTCTCTCTTCTTTTTCGATGTAAAGCTTTCGTGACTGCAGGGATTCATATTCTTGGTTCTTTCGCTAAAGTCACGTAGAAGGGAATTATTAAAATAATAAAAATAAAACAATAAAAAAAATTATCACGACGTTTCGATTGCAACACAAGCAATCATCATCAGGTGTGAAACCCACAGCAAGAATTTTTTTAAAAAGTTGCGGGTTTTTTTTCTTGCTGTGGTTTTTACACCTGATGATGATTGCTGGTGTTGCAATCGAAACGTCGTGAGAATGTTATTGTTTACTTTTTATTATTAATAGCTCTCTTCATACGCTACAGTAATTTTTCTGGAGCAGTCAGAACGTGATGACCGATGCTCGCGTTGCTTCCGAAACGTCGTCATTTAATTCAGTTATTTTATTTTCATTTTATTTTCACCCACGTGACCTACCAAAAACCAAAGAGTACACGAATCCTCGCAGTCACGAAAACTTCAAATCTCGAACAAAGCACCCTCGAGTAGCCCAACGCGACCTCACACACACACACACGCTCGCCGACTCGCCTTGAGGAACGAGAGGGGGTCAACCTCCGAGGCGAGCAGAGCCTGGAGGCTGTCCTTGACGCGGCAGAGACGCGCAATGCCCGACACGTGCTCTTCCATGGCCGCCTCGATGGGGGAGAGGGCTCGCTGTGCCTCGTTCCGCAGCTCCTCCATCACCTCCTCCTCTTGCCGAGACAGCTTCGTCCGAGCCTCGTCAAACGCCCTCGACAACTTAGATGAGTACCGGTCCGAGAGGTTCTACGTGAAGAGGTCACGGACGCCGGTTTAAAGTGCATCTGGGCGTGTGAGTGTGTATGTTGCACTTCTTTCGCACCGTACGTAGCCAACTGGGCTAAATTGGAGGTGCGGGCGGGGGGTGACAAGGAAACTAAACACACGAAAAAATATTTGAAAACGTTTCGTAAAGCGTGGCTGCTCTAGACCACCAGCTAATAATAATGATGGTAATTTTGGTTTTAAAGTGCCTTTCATCAAGAATTTTAGATTTGAAGTTTTCGTCACTGCAAGGATCCATACTCTTTGGTTTTTTCGGTAAAGTCACGTAGGTGAAAACATTGAAATTAAAACAACTTACCCTATATAAGCACGTGTCTCTAACAGCTCTCTTTATTCACTGCAGTAATTTTGCTGTGGCGGTTCCACCTGAAGACGGAGGCTTGTGTTGCTTCCAAAAGGTCGTGATTTAATTTAGTTGTTTTCATTTTTATTTTATTTAAATATTTTTGTGATTTATTTTAGTTGTTTTCATTTTTATTTTATTTTATTTTTGTGATTTAATTTAGTTGTTTTCATTTTTCTTTAATTTTATTTTTGTGATTTAATTTAGTTGTTTTCATTTTTCCTTTTTTAACCTACGTGACTTTACCAAAAAAAACTAAGAGTTTCATCAATAAATTCACAGCACTGCACAAGACACAGCAGCAGATACTCATGAATTAATACAAACGAGTGCTAAAGTCATTTTTTACGAGCTAAAAGTTGAATAAACTGGGGGTGTGTAGATGCGAGTTAAGAAGAGTTTGATGTTTGTCTACAGACTCGGATAAATCCTGGCATCTCGTGTGAGAGAGTGCCAGAGCCTGGGGGGGAGGGGGGGGTGCTACGTAGGAAAAAGCTCGGTCGCCCATCGACCGAAAAGACTCAACCTGGGACATCAACTACATTATCGAAAACCATCTTAACTTACACCGGTGTTTCTCAAAAACTGTTTTGCCCCGTGGACCACTTGGCCGATACAAACATTTCCACCCAACCCCCTGCCCCCCCCCCCCCCACCCCTGGTGACAAAACGCATTCACTTCCCTCTTTAAATACCAGTCAAACAAAATTATTAATATGACTGAAACACACACACTTTTTTTTAACCCAGCTATAAGTTGTTTTATTTAGGGGGGGGGGGGGGGGGTTAGATCTTAGGGTTATGGTAATTTAATCAGGGTAGTTTACCTAACTCGATTTATAAATTAAATATCCAAAGTAAAATATGAACGTCTGAATCAAACGGTATAAGAATCTTTCGATTTAAAGCTTTCGTGACTGCAGGGATTCATCTTCTTGGTTCTTTTGGTAAAGTCACGTAGAATGGAAATAATAAAATAAAAAAAATGAAACATAATAAAATAATTCTCACGACGTTTCGGCCACAACGCAAGCAGCCGTCCTCAGGTGACAGACCTGTTCTTCACCTGAGGACGGCTGCTTGCGTTGTGGCCGAAACGTCGTGAGAATTATTTTATTATGTTTTATTTGTATTATTTTAAATGATTTCCCTTCTACGTGACTTTACCGAAAGAACCAAGAAGAAGAGGGCTATACCTAATAAATGAAACGGAAAACTGAATGGTGGGAGGACAGACAAGCCCACGAGTCGCAGGCTTGGAGGGAGTTCCATACCACGATCTTTGTGTGGTCCTCGCTCAGCGTGGCGGTCTCCTGCTGCAGGAGACCAGAAGTATTGTCCACCAGTCTCACCCTTGCCTCCACGAGCACCTGAATCCACACGGCGCACGGAACACCGACTCGAACCTACGAGCCTGAAACTTGGGAGCCGAGACGCTCAACGAGGTGACGTCATGTTTAAAACCTGAAGGGTTCCGGTGCCTGGTTGGTTGTGGGTGCAGAGCGGTGAGCTGCCACCACTGAGATTTTGCGTTCAAATCTGGGTTTCGTGCGGGCTACTCCAAGTGTGGCACATTAGGAATGGATCACTCTTTTAAGTATGTCCTTGTGCAGCAAGGGAGTAAAGTGTGGTTCTGTGAAAGTCCTCATGTGCTGTGTGCAGTGCATCAATGCGTGTGTGTACAGCAGCATGTGATGACTGAGTCGGGCCTGTAGGTGGCTGGCAGGGTTATTGAATGACCGCGCGGATACACCAGTCACATGGTTAATGGCGACTCGGGAGCAAGGCTGGTTGAAAAACACGTGCTGGTGCATTTTACAGAGTGACGGTGCTGTTCTTCACAAGATTGCCATTAACCACAATAAATGTGCTTGCCCTCGATTTGGAACACCTGCCCACGTCCTTCATTTCGAGTGTGCAACACAAGTTTTACACGGGTGGACTTATTCAACGGGTCGTCGGTGTAAGTTGAATGAGCGAGCAGGCCCACTCTTATGAAAAGACACGGGTTTGATTGTGCGCCTCAAGAACTGACGTTACACTGGCAAATAGTGTGCGAAAACTTGGACTTGGGTTCCCAGTTCTCATTCTCTCCCCACGTATATGTGTGAACGGTGCGGGATGTCATCCCTCCATCTGCGCAATTCCTCTCTGCCTATGACTGACTGACTACCTCTCTCACCCAATACACATGGCCACCGTTTGTGCACAGCTATGAATGCCTTGATAGTGGTATTTTCTTTGTGCCATACGCCTGTTTGCGTTCTCTGGTCTAACACTGTTTGAGACGAGGCTCTAAAGGAAGCTGTCTCTGGTGTGGACCAATCCGTTTCAAAGACAATGCATATATGTTCACCACAAATGTGTGGTCAATGCAGTAACATGATTCCTTACAAAAGGTTTCCGTTTGGTGTTTTAACATCTCAACACCTGTTTCATTCCCAGAACGGGTAACACATTCCTGCGGAGGGAGCTGGTAGGAACGTTGGGTTGCTTGTTCAATGGCCAGGGTCAACGGCGGCGTGGTGTATTCCGCAGATATGGCCGACTGTGAGGACGGGCACAAGCCGGCGTGAGTAGGTTAAACGTTGAGTTTTATAACGGCACCACGGGGTGACCAGCCCCTCCCCACCCAGCCCCACCTTTCCCACCCCCCACCCAGCCCCTCCCTCCCCACCCAGCCCCTCCCCACCCTCCCCACCCAGCCCCTCCCCACCCTTCCCTCTATGCAAACATGACTCCTTGTAAAAAAGGTGTCCCTTTTGTTGCCAGATAAAAGGGTTAAACAACAATTATCATATTTTTTCTTCTGGCAAATGAGGTTCCAAAGGTTAATCATGTAAACAAAACATACCAATTAGTGACTACTTCGGAACACCGGTGTGTTGGAGAGTAAACCCACAACATTTACAATTTGAGTGTGAATTAGCATCAGGCGACAGCCAAATCTGGCTGTCGCCTGATGATGCTGGTTGTAATTACTGGCGGAACATCGTACTCAGATTGCAAATGTTGTGGATTTACTCTCCAACACACCAGCGCGCTGTACTAGTAACGAATTGGCATGTTCCGTTCACGTGACAAACCTTACAAATTGGCTGTGTCGGGTGGTGGTGGATTTAACTACACATTTATATCTACGCGATGTAATAAAGTAAAATCCCTGTGTTATCACTGCAGCCTGTGCTCCTTCAATGGAAGAGGAACAGAAAAAAATGCACGAACTCTAACTCCCTCTCCTCGTCGCTAGAAGCCTTTGACATTAGAATTCAGAATTCAGCTCCTCAACATACTGCTGCCATCACGTGCGTATGAGCGCAAAGGATTTGGTGAGTGTATAGTAGCTAGCAGTGTACAGTAAGCGTATAGAAGCTGGTGGATGTACGGCAGTGGCGGCTCCTGCAAAATCTCTCAGGGGGGGCAAATGTCTGGATGATTGATAGGGATAAGGTCCACCCATGCAATCGATAAATTAACAGCTTAAGCATGTAAAGGCAACTTCACTTCTTTAATATTAATGAAAAGTGACTCTTAACAATACATCTTGTTTGTTTCTATACTCACTATTATTACAATCCACTCAGCTTATTTTATTAAAGATTCCACTAGGTGGCGACAAATAATATTGTTGACTGAAACGTGCTTACGTATGATGACGTAAGCACGTTAGTGCGAGCCCTCCAGGAAGCCATAGAGAATGCATTGCAGCGCCCGCCGATCGAAAAAAAACATCTTTGAATGTAAGTCTATGGGAAAACTCTGGGCGATTCTCAGCCAGAGTGAAATCGCCCAAAAAGAGGCGGTACTCCACAGAACGTGACATGACGCTGATTGGACTATATCCAGAGGCACAGTAACGCCTAGCGTAACTGTGGTTGAATGAGATTGGTGGTGCGTCGCCCAATCGCCCTAATGAAGAAACCGCCCCTGGTGTACGGTGAACATGTCGGAGTTGCTGAGTGCATCGGAGTTGGTGAGCGTACGGTGAGTGGATCGGAGTCGGTGAGCCTCTCGGATTTGAAGCTTTCGTGACTGCAAGGATTCATACTCTTAGGTTTTTCGGTAAAGTCACTTGAGACAGTAAATCTGGCTGTGACGGTCCCACCTGATGACGGAGACTTGTGTTGCCTCCGAAACGTCATGATTTATTATTTTATTTCTATTATTATTTCTATTATTTTTTACCTACGTGACTTTACCTTCAAACTTAAGAGTATGAGCATCTCGGAGTTGATGAGTGTATGGTGATTGAATCAGAGTAGGTGAGTGTATCAGAGTGGGTGAGTGAATCAGAGTCGGTGAGCGTATGGTGAGCCAATATCGGAGTCGGTGAGCGTGTGAGAGTCGGTGAATGTGTACATCGAGTGTTTCAGAGCCGGTGGAGCACCCGCTCACCCGCTTGGCCCTGCACGTCTCCTCCAGCGCCGTGTGCCGGTGCGTTCGGTGCTCGGAGCCAAGGGAGCACTCGTGGCAAAGGGGCCGCTGCTCGCGCTCGCAGAAGAAGTCGAGGACTCGGGCGTGAGTCGGGCAAAGCTTCTCCGCCACGTTGCGCGTCGCCTCAATCAGCTGGTGCGTGCGGAGCAGAGCGTTCTCCTGTCACGACGGCCGAGGGCAGAAGGGGGAGAGACGCGGGCGTGAGCGTGATCAGGAACACGAACATGAGCTGAGACATGAACATGAGCTGGGACACGAGCGTGGGTGAGATCGCGTTATTTATAAATGTGTCGTAACCCTCCACCACCCGACACGGCCAATCGGCAAAAAAGTGTCACGTTGACAAAAGACGAAATAGTTCACTGCTTTAGCCCGCCGGTGTGTTGAAGCGTGAGACCACAACATTTGCAATGTTTCAGTAAAGTCACGTAGAAGGGAAGTAATAAAATAATAAAAATAAAACATAATAAAATAATTCTCACGACGTTTCGGCCACAACGCAAGCAGGACGGCTCCTTGCGTTGTGGCCGAAACGTCGTGAGAATAATTTTATTATGTTTTATTTTTATTATTTTATTACTTCCCTTCTACGTGACTTTACCGAAAGAACCAAGAAGATGAATCCCTGCAGTCACGAAAGCTTTAAATCGAAATTTACTGTTTCAGTAGTACGACGTTTCGCTGGTAATTGCATCCAGCATCGTCGGGCAATTCCGCCAGAATGGTGAGGCTCCGCTCTTGCTCCCCGGTATTAAATAGAGCAGCAGCAGCAGCAGCAGGGTGACGTCATCATTTAACTCATATTGGTCGCGAAAGCCTACGTGTTCAAATGACAAGTGACGTGAGCATGAGCTGAGATATGAACATGAACAATGCCCAGAGATACAGCCAAATGCTCCGTGGTGCCGCCTCCGAGTGACGTGAACAGCAACAATATCGACTCCGCCTGGTCCGTCTTTTTTTTTTTACGATCAGTGGAAACAAGAAGATGCTCGGTGTAGTCGGCACTTTGCTTCGTTCATCATTTCGTATTTTTTAAATCCTTTATATTAAGTTCGCTTGCTTGCTTGCTTGCGTGCTTGCGTGCTTGCTTGCTTACGACCGTGCAAACCTTTCGGTCGTTTTTTAACCCACTTCCCGTGATCCAATCGAGCTGACATTTTCCACACAGACTCGTTGTGCGTGACAATTAATGTTCGTGAAAATTTTTTTCCAAAATTTTACACTGTTTAGGGAAAACAAATTAAATATTTAATTACCAATTGTTTAATACTGCAGACAATCATCTGACCCATAGGTGGCAGCCATCTCAAGCCAGAGGACGAGAGGACTCTAGCCGCCACGCATATAAAGGATTTATAGTGAAAAACTTTGTTTTTACTGGTTATACTTATTTTACACTGCTTTATGTAACCCCCCCCCCCCCCTTCTCGTTCTCGCTCACTCTCTCGCTCACTCTCTCGCTCTCTCTCGTTCTGCACGCCGCCCTTCTCGCAGTCCAACGGCCTCTGACGGGTAGCTCATAATCTGCATGCAGAGCTCCCCGTCATCTACCACCGAGCACACGGCCTCCTCCATCGCCCACTGCTCCTTGAAGGCCGGCACGGCGTGGGTCAGCCGCGCCGCATGGCGGAACTCCAGCCCACACCAGAGCGCGGAAGATGCCCAGGCTGCTGGCCGGACGTTTCCCCTTCAGGGCCACCTTCCTCACCCTGTATATGGCGAGATTGGCGTAGCCGACGAGCACGTTGACCGGCCCCTGAAGATGTTGGGGTCCGTCGCCCTTCGGGTATCCAAAGATGAGGACCGTCGGGGAGAAGTGGAGGCTGAACCTTAGGAGAATGTTTCTCAGTATGAAACGTTTCCCTCCTCCCTCGCACTTGTGACAGCACCGGCTTCCTCCCTCCCACACGTTGATACGCCCAATATTATTGGCCGATAACACCTTCATAGAAAGAGGACCGCAGACCTTAGGCAATTGTTGACGCCGGCTTAACCGCGTGGCTGCTTTGAGCCGCGTGTCTGTGGTTCTTCCTGGCGCCTCCGAATCGTTCTCTCTCTCCTGTTCTTATAAAGTTTAATATCTGATACGTACCACATTGTGCTACTTTATATTAAATTGATTTTTGGGACAGGGAGATGGAATAGGGGCTTGCTCCGTCCACCCCGCGCATCAACCCGATATTGCAGTTTCTCTCTCCTCTTGTCTCTCTCTCATCTCTCTCTTCTCTGTCTCTTTCTCTCTCTACTTCTTCGAACGCTGGGGAGCCGGAAAAGCCCCTCTCTGTACCAGCGTGGACGGCACCCTCGTGTTCACCTTCTGAAGCGCTCGCTCGTCACCGTGGCGTGCACGAAGAACACCACCACCACGTGACTTTTCTTTCGTGTTGTGCGCGGTGCATTTATCGCCACAGCGCGTCGATTTGTAGCGTTAATTCGTTTGTGTTGCTGGTGACTTTGTGTATTTTATATCGGAATCGCCTCCAGTGCTGTTGCTGCTGGCGGCAATAAAAGCTGTTTTTAAAAGTCAAAAGTCTGTCTACGAGAGTGAGTGAATGCTGTACGGGGCAGCGCCTTACAAGATTACAGCCGTGGACTTCTCTCTCCACCACGCTGTCGCCCACCGTGTAGCAGCCCTTTTAAATACAAAGACTCTACCCCCGTCTAGGGGGCCGTCCATAAATGACGTCACGCGATTTTGGACGATTTTGTACTCCCCTCCCCCACCTCGTCGCACGGCGTCACAAAAAGTCAGACCCCCCCTCCTCAAATATGACGTCACAAAGCTCTGCCCCCCCCCAAAAAAAAAACATGCTTCAAATCGCTTTAAACTATTGTCATTGTAGTGCGTATTTAATGTGGTGCTGCACTCTGATGTTGTAGAAGAAAACATTTATTACAAAGTCTATTTAATTAAGTAGAACGTGTTGTCTATATTTATTTAAAGTTGTGCATTTTGATGTGACGTCACATTTCTCAAACCCCGCCTCCCCCTCGTCACACATCGTCACAAATGTCTGACCCCCCCTTCCTCCCCCCTAGGTGCGTGACGTCATTTATGGACGGCCCCTAATACAATACTTAATTTAAACATTTGTATTTAAATTCCTTTGATTCTATTTGCAATGTCCTGACACAGACCGGTCCGCTGGGTTTTTGCCCGGACTATGGCCGGAGGGCGTTCTTAAGTTTGATATAAATAATAACACTGGTCAACACACTTTTTCTGGCACGAGGTATTCCAACGGTTTTAAGGTCATTTTGGGGTGCCGATTCCAAATCTGGCATCAGTTTTTGTCTATCACATCAGGTTTTTGAGATATCAAATATTGCATTTTCAATAAAAACTGCAGAAGAAAAATATTAAATAAATGTGGATATCTACATAAAGTGATATTATAAACGCACTATCCTAAGAATACAGCACCGTATTTTAACACTAAAGCAGTCACTGACTCGCAACAACTTGCAATCGTAAGTGACAGAGATAATTTCGGGTAAAATCAATGAAAATGGGGTATGCCGATAGCATAAAAATGAGATGTGATAGAGCAAATCTGAGATCAGATTTGGAATCAACACCCTGAATTTAGTCTAAAACAGCTGCAAAAAGTCCAGGCCAGAAACTTTTATTTTTTGTTGTAGCGTGGCAAACAAGAATAGACGATCGAGATTTGAAGCTTTCGTGACTGCAGGAACCCATCCTCTTTGGTTCTTTCGGTAAAGTCACGTAGGTAGAAAAATAAAATAAAAATAATATTTTTTTGTTTTGTTTAAATAACATAAAAACAAAATATTTTAAAATAAAACTACAAATATATATATATTTTTTACCTACGTGACTTTACCGAAAGAAGCAGAGTAAGAATAGACAACATCGCAATTGAATCCATAACACAGTTGGTTTTTTTTTGGGGGGGGGGGGGTTAGATCGTGTAAATATGTAAATGTATCGTCAAACCCGCCGCCACCCGATACAGCCGTTGAGTAAGCATTGCCACGTAAACGAAACGTGTCAATTCGTCACTAGTACAGCACTAACCGGTGTGTTGGAGAGCCAAGCCACAAACATTTACAATCGGAGCACGACGTTTCGCCAGTCATTTACAACGAGCCTCAAATCGCAATTGAAATCAGAACTTTAACCGATGCCAAATGAAACTACAAACAAAACAATTTTAAATAGTCGCGTGAAAATCCCCTATATATAAAAAAAAACATTCATAGACAATGAATAGTAGTAGAAATACTGAATAAACACTTGACTTACCTTTCTAGATTTTAAGCTTTCGTGACTGCAAGGATTCATACTTAGGTTTTTTCGGTAAAGTCACGTATGTAAAAAATAAATAATATAAATAAATAATAATAAAAATAATAGAAATAAAATAATAAATAAATATTCCCCCCCTTACTTTTTAATATTATTTATTTTTATTATTTATTTTTTACCTACGTGACTTTACCGACAAAACCTCAGAGCATGAATACTTGACTTACCGATGATGATGATGATCCAAAGCTGGTGATTGTGCGTACGTGCGTGCGTGAGTGAGGAGCGGTGGTGCAACGATTTGCGCGCCGCGCTACGAACCGGGCTGGCGCCCGAGTTCGATCTCCGCTCACGCCCCAACAACCGTTCCTCGTCGAGGTCGACTCAGCCTCAAGTGCAGAAACTGCTGCACGTCCTCCCCCCTACCTTGTGTGGTCTCAGGTGTTCCTCGCAAAACGAGGTCAAGCAGGTGAGGCAGGTTTTCACGGCAGCTGCTGCTGCTGCTGATCCTCCGAGGCAGTAATCGCACGGGACAGCTCCTTCCATCGCTTCCGCCCCGACTTTGTCTCTCTGGGGTCTGATTCTGTGTCTATCTGGGTCTCTGCTGCTTCTGTGTCTCTCTGCCAAGTCTCGCTTGCTCGGACCGTGTGCCTAGGTCTCTCTCAAATTTTGTCTCTCTCTTTTCTTGTTTCTTTATTTTTTATTATATTTTTAAAAAATTCTCTCTCTCGCTTTTCGTGTGTCTCTCTCTCTCTATCCTTTCATTTCATCTCTCTCCGTCTGTCTGTGGCTCTCTCCCCGTATCTCTCCCTTGCTGTCCTTCTGTCTCTTGCTTGACAATTGCCTGGTTCTGTCTCACTTTGCCGCTTTGTTCTACCACCCCTCCAACTACCCCCGTTACCTGTCTCCCCGCGGTTCTCCGTCTCTCTCTCTGTTCTCGTATTAAGTTTGTGTTGACAACAAAACGCTGTCCTCCTATCTCCGTCGCTCTCTCTCTCTATCTCTCGATTATAACCCCGTGCCTCTGCGCTATATCAGTGCGGTACGTTGAACTTATTTCGCACCGTACGTGCCCAACCGTGCACATCGGATTTCTTCTTCTTTTCAATTGTTGCGCGTCTCTGAGTGTGTCTGTTCCCCCACCTCTGTAACCCCTGGCTTTGCCTTGCGATCAACTCTCTCCCTACCTCGCTCGCTTTGTCGTCTCCCCTTTAGCCTGTCGGAACAATCCAGTAGTTCTACACAACCCAATAGTTCTTCTAAACCCAATAGTTATTCTACTAAAGCCACTAGTTCTCCACCACGCGCGCAACCCTTGCAGACAGCTCGCGAGCTCGCTCTGTCGTACCTCTTAAGGAACGACGCAGTTTCCTCATTCCTCCTTCATGAAACACCAAAATCGAACCCCCCCTCCCCACCTCCCTTCCCCTCCTCGTTTCATGGCAAATTTGCTTAAGAATGTATATGCGGAAATAAAGTCTCAATGTCATTTACACGCACAATAGACGACGCATCTGTAATGCACACACACACACCTAGCCGTGGCATTTGTGGGGGAAATTTCTCCTGGCCGGTTTAGGGGCCGTCCATAAATGACGTCACGCATTTTTTGAAGATTTTTGACCCCCCCCCCCCTAGTCACACGGCGTCACAAAAAGTCAGACCCCCCCCTCAAATATGACGTCACAAAGCTCTGCCCCCCCCCCCCAAAATAAAACATGCTTCAAATCGCTTTAAACTATTGTCATTGTAGTGCGTATTTAATGTGGCGCTGCACTCTGATGTTTTAGGAGAAAACATTTATTAAAAAGTCGATTTAATTAAGTAGAACGTGTTGTCTATATTTATTTAGAGTTGCGCATTTTGATGTGACGTCACATTTCTCAAACCCCCCCTCGTCACACATCGTCACAAATATCTGACCTCCCCCCCCTAGGCGCGTGACGTCATTTATGGACGGCCCCTTACCCATATTCTTGTACAGGGAAATTTATTTTTCAGGTCCATACGGCGTAAAGCCGTTTCAATAATTTCAATGTTTTTGTCTATTTGTTTGTGTTTATCTCTTGTGATGGGACTTTGCAGGATGAACGTTGAGATGTATAAGGGCACGGGGTGACCAATAAGATCTGAATTGGTCTGTAAACACATTCCTGCGGAGGGAGCTGGTAGGAACGTTGGGTTGCTCGGTCAATGGCCAGGGTCAACGGCGGCGTGGTGTATTCCGCAAATATGGCCGACTGTGAGGGCGGGCACAAGCCGGCGTGAGGAGGTTAAACGTTGAGTTTTATAAGGGCACCACGGGGTGACCAGCCCCTCCCCACCCAGCCCTAACCCTCCCACCCCCCACCCAGCGGGAGAAGGACAACAGACTAAACACGGGATATAGCGTTTCCCCCTCGCACGTGCGGGAGCCCCGGCTCATTCCCACATGGAAACGCTCAATAATTGGCAAGTAACACCTTCATATCTGTTTTGTCTGCACGGGATCGAGTGTTTCCCCCTCGCACACGTGCGTTTCCTCTGGGAGTTCCGGCTTCCTCCCACGTGTAAACTTGTAATTAATTGGCTGATAACACCACAGCACATAGAGGACAGCAAGAGCTTGGGCAGTTGTTGGCGTGCCGGCTTACTGTCAGGCTACCTTCCTGCTTGTATGTGGTTCCTCTCGCCTCTTAGTCGATCTCGCTCTCTCTACCAGAGTGAGCTCACAAGGGCCCTACGACGCGTTAGAAGTTGAAATTATTATTATTGTTCAAATATCCCTCTGTATGAAGCAGGACCCTCCTGAAATAAGAGACAAAGTAAAATGCATTTGTTTTCTAATTGCATATAGCACGTGCAGGAAATATCACGTGTTATTAACTATTATTTTAAGTTGTCAATCGATGAGTCAGCAAATTCAGGCCTTCTCATGCCGTGTCGGTCATGGGAATTGCATGACCATACTTCACCACGCTGGTCAGTGCGGGACGCGTTGTGCGTCTGTTCTCCTGGTAATCGGTGTGCGCATGATCGGTGAGCGCGCTGCGCTACGAACCCAGCGACCCAAGTTCAATTCTCACTCAAGGCCAACACCAGTGACGATTATCTAAACCGATCATGGGCTTCCCCTAGGTCGATTCAGCTTCAAATGAGTACCTGGTGTGGTGTGTAAACATCGCCGGACGTGGTGCTAGTCACCCACCCCCTCGTGTGCCGTGCCGGCCTTCATTAGGTGCTTGCTAACAGCACTTGCCCCAACAGTCTGTTCAGACTATACGTGTGATCTTTGTCTTGCTTGAGATTACAGATCACGACAGCACAGTGAGAGATTCATAGGCATGGGGGGAAACACACGGGAGTCTTTAAAGTTTTTTCTATAAATACAGAAATGCCATCAGACCAGTCTGCCTGACATTTTTCTGCGTAGGAACGCATTTTTTTTTATTTATTTCCAATATAGTCGCAACGCCAACATTGTTGTGATTAAGGAAAGAGACCAGTGCAATTGCAGGTTCTCGGCTCAAACTCCCTTCGCTCCTGGCCAATTTCAAGTTATCATCATCTTATATTTTACTCAGTACTGTATATGACCCTGCGATGGTGGTCTTGGTCTCCCAAACGGCACAAAAGACTGATTGGCAGACCAGGAAAGGGTGACACGAATACAATTGAGAAGTGACCAACTGAACACCGCTGTGGAACACTTTGGAGTTATTCAGAGGTTACTCAGGTCCACCACCGCTACGCTCGCCGATGTTCTGCCGGTGGCTCCATCATCAACCGCTTAAGAACAGCGACCGCTCCCCATTTGGGCAATTCTCCTTCGCAAGTGGGACATGAATAAATAAGTAATATTTAAAAATACCTTTTTTAAAACAACACGCTTTAATGAAATGTACACTACTAGTAATGGCAGAACTCCACGACTCCAGGAAGTGGCCCCGAGGCTTGCCATAACGTAAGGGGGCCGTGGTGATTTACAGCCAACGTGAGTTGAGCGTGGACAATTAGACCCAAGGCGAAACATAACATGTAAAAAAGATAGTTTACATTTTTTGAAAATTTTTTTATGATAGAATATAGTATTGTCATCAGTATGACATACGTAAACCAAGTTTGCAGTCGATACCATATTGGGAAGTGGGTACAAATTGAGTTACAAGATTTGAGGATACGACAACAACAGACAGATTGAGTTAATAAAAAGCGTGTAAAAAATCTTTACATTTATTTTTAATAATAGAATATGGCATTGTCATCAGTATTACATAAGTATACCAGTTTGCAGTCGATACCACATTGGGAAGTGGGTTAAAATTGAGTTACAAGATTTGAGCTTACAACAGAGTGAGTTAAATACAAGCGTGTAAAAAAAAAAATGATGTCCCCCACCCCCACAATGGAGTGACTGCAGCCACCCGAAACAAACAGCGGCTCACAAACTTACACCCGGACCGAGTGTGAGGGGCCGTCCATAAATGACGTCACGCACCTAGGGGGGGGGGGCAGACATTTGTGACAATGAGGGGGGGGGGGGGTCAGAAATATGACGTCACATCAAAACGCGCAACTTTAAATAAATACAGACAACACGTTCTACTTAATTAAATAGACTTTTTAATACATGTTTTCTCCTGCAACATCAGAGTGCAGCGCCACATTAAATACGCGCTACAATGACAATAGTTTAAAGCGATTTGAAGCATGTTTTATTTGGGGGGGGGGGGCAGAGCTTTGTGACGTCATATTTGAGGGGGGGGGGTCTGACTTTTTGTGACGATGGGGGGGGGGGGGCGGTCAAAAATCGTCCAAAATCACGTGACGTCATTTATGGACGGCACCCTTTAGCCTGCTCCATTCAAACTCTGCTGCTGCTGCTCAAGACGCCATCGCCTCGCCGTGCCCTCTTCGGGAAAACCCTTCTTGGAAGCGCGGTCTCGAATTTGTTGGGCAGAAGTTTCTGGCGGCTTCTAGAAGAGATGTTGCGGAGGTGGTCTCCTATGAATGCGAGCCTCTCCTCGGGTCCTCATCAGATGTCCTCCTAGGTAGCTATGCAATGTTGGTGTCAGTGTAAAACGAAATAGCATTGTCGGCCATAAAACTCTTCTTTGTATGTTTGTCTCAGAAGCCAGCTGAGAAATTTCGCAATTGGTGAGCTCTTACAGGCTCTGCTCCTTTATTCGAGTTGCCTGGCAGCGTACTTATTTCTGCCCCTTGGCCTCGTTCCAATCATTCTTTCATTCCATCGAGCAAATTCAGAGAATGTGTCAAATTGTATTAGTTTCACCCTTTCGTAATGTTAGAATGGCACGTGTCCTCGGCCGTACCCACTCCTCGAGCCCTTTGCAGCCCTCCTTATGAGCTCGTTTATCGAGGGTGAAAGTTTCTATCGAGTAACTCAATGCCAGGGTATCCAAGAGCCTCTGCGATCAAGTGCCATAAGAGTGTGGAATTTACATCGGTGCTTGGTGAAGGCAAGTAAACAGTGTGTTGAATTTCGATGTAAAGCTTTCGTGACTGCAGGGATTCATCTTCTTGGTTCTTTCGGTAAAGTCACATAGAATTGAAATAATAAAAATAAAAATTATAAAAGAATGTTTTATTTTTCTTATTTTATTATTTCCATTCTACGTGACTTTGCGCCCGAAACGTCGTGATTGAATTAATAAAATGAAAAAGTATAAAGCAATATTTAAATATTTTTATTATTTTATTATTTCCATTCTACGTGACTTTACCGAAAGAACCAAGAAGAAGAAAAAAAACAGTGTGTTGTTACCCTTTGGTTCTTTCGGTAAAGTCACGTAGGTATAAGATCATGCTAATCTCTCACATTAAAATAGCCACTTCCATGCTCTCGTTGAGGAGGCCGCTCTCCTATCTTACAGTTACATGCTAATTTCTCACATTAACATCACTAGCCCCGGCCACTTCTTTATGACCCTTGGGCTACACCCATTTCAAACCTTTTTAAAACAGTCTGCCTCAGCAGCAGACCATGCTTTCCCACCTGATGACGGACGCTTGTGTTGCGCCCGAAACGTCGTGATTGAATTTATTTTATATTTTATACCTACGTGACTTTACCGAAAGTATGGTCCTGAAAATCTCTCCAATTAGGCTAAAATATATTCCACTGGTGGAGCAGGGTGTACGACACACACTTTACTCATGAGATCTAACACAAACATTTATTTTGAATCAATATTCCACTGACAACAATAAACTCTCTTCAGCTAAGATGTGATTTTAGATGCACAGTGAATGTGATTTATTGTATTTTATTTTCTACCTACGTGACTTTACCGAAAGAACCAAAGAGTATGGATTCCTGCAGTCACGAAAGCTTAAAATCTAGAATGTGTTGTTATTTTATGGAAACAGCAGTCCTCGCACTCTTAGGTTTTTTTCGGTAAAGTTACGTAGGTAAAAAATAAAAATAATAGAAAAAATAATAGAAATAAAATAATTATTTTGTTTCTATTGTTATAATAGAAATAAAATAATTAAAATAATTTTCATTATAAAATAATCATTTTATTTCTATTATTATATAATAATTTTATTTGTTATTATAGAAAAAATTATAGAAATAAAATAAATATTTTATTTATATTATTTTTTCTGTTGTTTTTTTTATTTATTTTTATTATCTATTTTTTTCCTACGTGACTTTACCGAAAAAACCTAAGAGTATGAATCCTTGCAGTCACGAAAGCTTCAAATCTAGCAGTCCTCGCCACACGAATCGGAAGTTTAACTATTGCCGTCGGTATTGATCGCACCGTATCAACACACGAAATCTGCCACAACTACATTTGATTGGTGCAGGTGGAGCCAACATTGGCAGTCGTTGTTACACGTGTCACCATGGCTGCGTGACTCGGGAGTTCCAGAGCCGTCGAGCTTGGCAACCGCTGTGATCCTGGGTTAGAATCCACGAGGTCGCCTGCGATTAAACCGGGTTCTGGGTGTAACGAGTTTAATGATGATAATTGGTTTTTTACCCTTCTATCTGGCAACAAAACTGACACCTTTTTTTTACAAGGAGTCATGTTTGCATAGACCACAATACCTGCAATCATAATGCAAACAAAACACAACTCTGTATGCACTGTCCTTGAAGTTGATTGGTCCACACCCGAGACAGCTTTCCTTAAGAGCCTAGTCTCACATGGTGTTGGACCAGATGACGCCAAAAGGCGCACAACTCAAAGACAATGCACCATCAGAGTATGAGAGCTCCGGGTTAGCATTTACACCATTGGAACCGCATTTGCCAGTAAAAAAATATGATAATTGTTTTTTTACCCTTCTATCTGGCAACACAACTGACACCTTTTTTTTTACAAGGAGTCATGTTTGCATAGACCACAATACCTGCAGTCATAATGCAAACAAAAAACATAACTCTGTATGCACTGTCCTTGAAGTTGATTGGTCCACACCCGAGACAGCTTTCCTTAGAGGTTCCAATAGTGAGTTTAATGATCTTTGTGTTTTCACCAATGACTGACTCGTAGCCCCTCTGCGGAAGATTCCACGGAGGGGTAAGGGTGGCTGAAGTCTAATAAGATTCCCCCGGAATCATGGATGTCATTGGGGCTGGTGGTAGTGGTCACGGGGCCATCTTTGGTTGCTGCGAGGATGGTGCTGCAAGCCACTGGGTCGATTTACTGGCGGTCACGTGCGTGACGAGGTGAAGTGGGATTCGGTTCTTCTTGCCGGCTTTCATTCTCTAATACAGTAAAACCGTGGATTGCGAGCATAATTCGTGTTTGTAATCCAAAGCACTCGTATATCAGAGCACTCGTATATCAATTGTGATCACGTGACGCTCGGCAGACGAAGCGTATGCACGTACTACTCGTTTTGCAAGACCTCGCTCGTTTATCAAATTAATATTTATTTTAAAAAATGTGCTCGTCTTGCAAAACACTCGCAGACCAAGTTACTCGCAATCCAAGGTTTTACTGTACATGCGTATTATACAGGACTAGGAGGTTAAGGCCAATTTAAAGAGTTGCATTTTCAAGGTGGACAATTAAAGCTCCCCCGCCGGTGTAGTCCAAACTCTTTTTAAAAATCCTTTATATTAAGTTCACTTGCTTGCTTGCTTGCGCGCTTACGACCGTGCAAATCTTTCGGTCGTTTTTTAACCCACTTCCCGTGATCCAATCGAGCTGACATTTTGCACACAGACTCGTTGTGCGTGACAATTTATTTTCGTGAAATTTTTTCCAAAATTTTCCACTTTTAGGAAAAAATAAATTTCATATTTAATTTAAAATCCATAACTTTACACTTTTTAGGAAATACAAATTTATATTTAATTACCAATTGCTTAATGGTGGCAGGCAATCATCTGACCCATAGGTGGCAGCCATCTCAAGCCAGAGGACGAGAGGACTCTAGCCGCCACGCATATAAAGGATTTATAGTGAAAAACTTTGTTTTTACGGGTTAATTTTTTCCCCGTGGTGTATGCATTGTTTGGCCGTGTATGTTCCAATAATGACTTCACATTCTAGATTTGAAGTTTTCGTGACTGCTAGGATCCATATACTCTTTGGTTCTTTCGGTAAAGTCACGTAGAAGGTAAATAATAAAATAATAAAAATAAAACATAATAAAATACAATTCTCACGACGTTTCGGCCACAACGCAAGCAGCCGTCCTCAGGTGAAGAACAGGTCTGTCGGAAAGACAGCGTCTGAATGAACGCCACCAAGCTTGGCAGCGTATATTTACACTGCCGACAGACCTGTTCTTTACCTGAGGACGGCTGCTTGCGTTGTGGCCAAAACGTCGTGAGAATTGTATTTTATTGTTTTATTTTATTATTCCCCTTCTACGTGACTTTACCGAAAGACCCAAGATGAAAAATAACTAAATGAAATCACGACGTTTCACAATCATCATTCACCCAAAAAAAGAATTGCCTCGGGGTCAGTCAAGACCAGTTCTACCCGACTCCTGGTCTCGCCTCTGCGAAGCATGATCTAATGCCTCTTGCATTGATTATAATTAAAGTGGGGAATGGGAGGGGACCTCTCTCTCTCTCGTCTTGCTCGAGCTTGCAACAATTGCACCATTAATCTAAATTATATTTACACGGGCAACTTGGCAAACAAACCTAACGTCAAGCTCATCTATCCATTTAGCACACTATGGCATTTCTCCCACACTCGCTCAGCTTGCCGCACCTCCGATTAGCACGGTTGGCTACGTACGGTGCGAAAGAAGTTCAGCATACATACACAAACACGTGTGTGACTGGCAGGTCGCTCCGAGGCTGTGGCATCACAACCGCACGAAAACATGACGTGTTTTTTTACATTTGGGTGTCGCACTTAATTGTGCTATGTTCCAGTTGCCAGAATTAAAAAGAACAAATGGTAATTATTCTAGGGTTTTTTCGGTAAAGTCACGTAGGTAAAAAATTAATGAAAGTAAAATAAAAAATAAAATAAAAATCACGTTTCGGAGGCAACACGAGCCTCCGTCTTCTTCGCCTCCGAAACGTCGTGATTTTTATTTTATTTTACTTTTATTAATTTGAATTTTTTTACCTACGTGACTTTACCGAAAAAACCCAAGAATATGAATCCTTGCAGTCACGAAAGCTTCAAATCTAGAACAAATGGTAAGGCGCTGCGACCGTGTCACTTTGAAAAGTTATTTATCTATACCATTTGGTTCTTTCGGTAAAGTCACGTAGGTGGAAATAAAACAAAAGAAATCACGACGTTTCGATAGCAACACACAAGCCATCGTCTTCAGGTGCAAATCGTGACAGCCGCGATGTCTGCTGCCTTGTGAAGAGACGCCGTTATCAGCAGCAGTTGAAGTTTTTGAGAACAAAGGTAGCCGAAGTAGTGTTAATGGGGTATTATAGTGTCAAGGTAATAAATAGCGTGGCATGTGAAAGGAAATTAACTTAGAGGAACATGTTGGATTATAGTGCAAAGTTAATGAGCTTCTGTAGCGCGTATGATTAGCATATGTATTTTGACGAGAGAAGCATGTAAAAGTTAATACAAAAAATTTGCAAGTTAATGTCAGTCTGTGTAACCAAGAATAGCATGTTAAAGTTGATGAGAAAAGCATGTCAAAGTCAATAAGCGAAGTTACACACATTCCTGCGGAGGGAGCTGGTAGGAACGTTGGGTTGCTCGGTCAATGGCCAGGGTCAACGGCGGCGTGGTGTATTCCACAAATATGCTCGACTGAGGGTGGGCACAAGCCGGCGTGAGTAGGTTAAACGTTGAGTTTTATAAGGTCACCACGGGGTGACCAGCCCCTCCCCACCCAGCCCCACCCCTCCCACCCCCCACCCAGCCCCACCCAGCCCCACCCCTCCCAGCCCCACCATCCCCACCAAGACCCTCCCCTCCCCACCCAGCCCCTCCCCCTCCCCACCCAGCCCTTACCTGCACGACGGACGGATGGACACAATAATCCCGTGGGCTGGTGTAACCAGGAGTTTCCTACCAGGATGATGTATGCCACTAAACCCGAGTACAGCAAAAGTCCTCGGTTAACGCGAGAGATGCGTTCTGAAAAAAGTGCCGCGTTTAGCGAAGAAAAAAATAAATTCGTTAAGCGAAAACTATTTCCCCCATCATGTAATGATGAAGTTTCACGATGGACGATGCACACGCAGTAAGAGAGCGGCACAAACACCTGAGGGTACACCATACTCTTTGGTTCTTTCGGTAAAGTCACGTAGGTATAAAAGAAATCACGTTTCGGGCGCAACACAAGCATCCGTCATCAGGTGGGAAAAAGCATGGCCTGCTGCTGATGATGGACGCTTGTGTTGCGCCCGAAACGTCGTTATTTATTTTATTTCATATTATACCTACGTGACTTTCCTGCATCATTCCGCGTACTCTTATCATCACCCTCAGCCGCACGTCTAAGTAGTTCGTCGCTGACCGCGCAGAAACATGAAGCGCGCGTTCCGCTTAGCGCGAAAAGTGTTTGCCCCGATCGAAGAACGGCGTGACGGCGAATACCGTGTTGTGTGAACGCACGTTAAGCGATGACTTACCGTATGCGGTTTAAACTTTCGGTCGTTTTTTTAACCCACTTCCCGTGATCCAATCGAGCTGACATTTTGCACACAGTCTCGTTGTGCGAGACAATTAATGTTCGTGAAAAAAATTTTCCCAAAATTTTACACTTTTTAGGACAAAAATATTATATTTAATTACCAATTGCTTAATGGTGCAATGCAATCATCTGATCCCATAGGTGACAGCCATCTCAAGCCAGCGGACGAGAGGACTCTAGCCGCCACGCATATAAAGGATTTATAGTGAAAAACTTTGTTTTTACGGGTTATACTTATTAATATTCCCACCGACAACATTTCCATGTTTTTTTGTTTTTAAATTCTTTTAGATGTTTTTTTTTATTGTAAGACCGCGTTTTTGTACAGTAGTTCAGAGTAACATTGCAGTTAAAATGATAAGGCTAATTAATGCACATTTGATAAGTTAGCATTATAGATTGCACAGTAATTTAGGGAAACTACCTAAATGTAACAGGAGTATCATTCGCATATGATAAACATAAATCATCGATTCTCACCCCCTCTGGAAAGACATTTTACTTCGGTGTAAAAATTTCCATTATATATTACTTAAAATAATCGAACCCATGTCTGCAGTGATGGTCACGGGTATTCAGAGTAAATTATAGCAGAGTTGGTACAGACAGGACCAGGTGTTGGTTGTCACAGGCAGTCACGGGCTGGTATTGCTAATCACAGCTGTCAAGGGCAGTCACTGGCAACGTATCGATGTGACGACTGATCGAATAAAGTCAATTGTTGCACTCGCAATACACACGCATCGAATCGCGTGCAGAGAACTGACAATTTACGACGTATGCGGATTGCATGCCGTTACATTTAGGTTTCATAGCGAACAAAACTAGACGAGAAACATGGCGTGTGAGGAATTATACAAACAAGAGATGGTAAAAACGAGACAAAGATTTGATCCTTTGATTGAATCGCAGGCGTGAATTTTGACAATTCACAGACTGCCTGCGGAGAGGGTGGGTGAAACCTTCCCCCATCGTCAGGGATGTTAACGGGGCTGCAGTTAGTCGCTGCGAGGATGGTGCTGCAAGTCACTGGGCCGATTCACTGGCGGTCACGTGCGTGACGAGGTGAAGTGGAATTTCGGTTGTTCTAGCTGCCCCGCATAATCTTATACAGCATCAACAACACGCTTCACTTTGCAACTCCCCTCTCACGTGGATTGCATGGTGTGCCGTGGTGTCTTCTACACGTGCTGCTGCTGGTGGTGGTGTGTTTTACCCTGCGTTCGAATTACACCGCTCATTTTCTTTACCGACACAGTTCGCACTTCTCGGCGTTTGTATGTCCATATGCACAACTTATTTCGCACCGTACGTAGCCAACCGTGCTAATCGAAGGTGTTACCACCACCCACCTCCCAAGATAGATCCATCCCAGAGCTAAGCTATGTGCAGTGGCGCGTAATCAAGATGTCACGAAGTCTATAGCAGTAGTGACCAATACCTGAAATGCGATCGCAAAAAATTTTGAGGATCTCAGGACAAATCAGAACGGACACTTACATAAGCAAAAGACAATTTCATGATGGCCGATCACATTCAAAATCCCTAAGAATTTCTACGTTGAAAGAAAGGATAACTTTTACCAATAAATGGCGCTAGTACTTTGCGTCTGTAATCTATTGGCAATTTTTGGAGATGGCTTTCTGGTGGATCACGCAGCCCTGCTGAGATCCACCAGAATCGATCGTAGTGCTTGGTGTTATTGGCCACCGCTGGCGTACGGTTTTGGTGGTCACAGCGATGATGGTGACGATGACGACGATGACGACCATAGTGGTCAAGCGTTCCTTCAAATACAATTGCTCAAACATCCCAATATAGGACCGCTCATGAAAAAGTGTCTTGCACATTGTGACGACGGTGATGGTGGTCACTGCCGGCGTTACCAGCGGACAAGCGGGCATGACGAGTCACAGGCGAGAAGCTGGTAGTCACGCAGGCATGGGGCTGCGGCCGCCAAGGCTGCCGTTGGTAGTCACGGGAGGTCACAACGTGTCACACGATGCAGCTGTTTGGCAGTCGCGGGGATGGTGAAGGAGTAGTCTTGAGCAGAGGTCGCAATCGGGTACCCGATACCCGTACCCTACCCCCCGATACCCGGCTACCCGTACCCGGCCGGGTACGGGTACCCGTTTGCGACCCTGGTGCGGCCGGGTACGGGTAAGGGTAGGCCGTGAGTCACTGGTGAGTAACTGTTTGTCACTCATTTCCCAACGTCTTGTTTCTTCTCACAATTCAAGTTCCTAGAATCAACCCACACGCGCCTGCAACATGGCTTCATCCCAGAGGTCGCAATCGGGTACCCGATACCCGTACGCTACCCGACACCCGGCCGGGTACGGGTACGGCCGGGTACGGGTACCCGTTTACGACCCTGGTGCGGCCGGGTACGGGTAAGGAATCAAAACCCGTTTGCGACCTCTGCTCTTGAGTAGCCACGAGGCTGCTGCTGCTGCTGCTGCTGGTGGTGGTCGTCACAGGCGATCACGAGATGAGCTTGACGGAGAGGTTGAGCCGCACGTCGCACATGAAGAGGGAGCTCAGATCCCACTGAGCCAAGCGTGACACGGCCGCCACGCACGCTCCTCCACGCCCCAGCAGCATCCGCTGCAGCAACGGCAACAGCAGACGTACACAATATAGCACGCACAACGCAGCATCTTGTACAGCACCAACAAGGCCAATAATCACGTGTCGCACATTAAGGCACTCGCGACAGCAAAGATAACAATTGCACTGGTCAACACTTTTTCTGGCAAGAGGTATTCCAACGGGTTTAATGTGATTTTGGGGTGCCGATTCCAAATCTGGTATCAGTTTTTGTCTATCACATCAGGTTTTTGAGATATCAAAGATTGCATTTTAAATAAAAGCTGCAGAAGAAAAATATTAAATAAATGTGGATATCTACATAAAATGATATTATAAACACACTATCCTAAAAATACTGCACCATATTTTAACACTAAAGCAGTCACTGACTCGCAACAACTTGCAATCATAAGTGACAGAGTTAATTTCGGGTAAAATCATTGAAAATGGGGTATGCCGATAGCATAAATATTAACCCGTAAAAACAAAGTTTTTTTACTATAAATCCTTTATATGCGTGGTGGCTAGAGTCCCCTCGTCCTCTGGCTTGAGATGGTTGCCACCGATGGGTCAGATGATTGCCTGCCACCATTAAGCAATTGGTAATTAAATATCATATTTTTTTCCTAAAAAGTGTAAAATTTTGGAAAAATATTTTCACCAAAATTAATTGTCACGCACAACGAGTCTGTGTGGAAAATGTCAGCTCGATTGGATCACGGGAAGTGGGTTAAAAAACGACCGAAAGATTTGCAAGGTCCTAAGCAAGCAAGCAAGTGAACTTAATATAAAGGATTTAAAAATATGATGTGATAGAGCAAATCTGAGATCAGATTTGGAATCAGCACCCTGAAATTAGTTTTAAAACAGCTGCAAAAGTCCAGGCCAGAAAAAAATGTTTTTTTTTTGTTGACCAGTGTTATAAGACAACGTACTCGACAGGACCCAACAAACCATCCGTCACAACAGCGGTGGCCAATAACACCGCCAGCACTGCGATCTGGCTGACGACGATGATGATGATGTCAATGATGTCATAAAGCCCTGCCCATGACCTCCCGTTCAGCGGCACACATGGGAACTAATAGGTGAGCGAGGCTTTTTTTTCTCGTGTTATTCGATTGTTCGTGTATTGTACTGGATAATGGTTAGAGTGATCCATTATTTAAATATTTCGATGGCCCAGCACGACAATATTGAACTTGCTATAACGATGACAATGGTAGCCTTATGACAGTCGCCATACGACACACGGTGCACTAATGTGGGTCATGTCGGTGACGACGTGGGGATAATGCTGGCGATGGTGTGGTGATGCCGTCGGTGAGGCCGGTGATGTTTACCGCTGGTGATGTCAGTGATGCTGGTGACATCGCTGATGGTGGCACTGTTCGTGACGATGTTGGTGATGGTGTTATTATCAGTGAAGGTGGCGATATCAATGACGTTGGCGATGTCAGTGATATTGGCGGTATCGGTGATGCCAGTCATTTCTGGTGAAGTCTGTGTTGCTGGTCATGGTGTTGATATCGGTAACGTGGCCATGTCCGTAATGTCGGTGATGTTACCAACCATGTGGGAGTTCTTGGTGACGGTCAGCTGCTGGATGATATGCAGCTCCCCACTGGGCCCCTCCTCCCAGTGCAACACGCTCTGTGTGGACAAACGTCACGGCGTTAGTGGGGCCAGCTTCTCAGTGGCCCCATGTGGCCACCGTGAATCACCTGTGCAAGACGAAACCCAGAACCAGGGGCTCGCATCCAAGCACTCCAAGGTGTTGTGTATATAAACTTAATTTGGAGCTTTCGTGACTGCAGGAATTACTCTTTGGTTCTTTCGGTAAAGTCACGTATAAAGATAAAATAATAAATTAAATACTAGCATACGACGTTTCGATTGCAACACAAGCAATCATCATCAGGTATAAATGAAATAGAAACACAAATCTAGTATACTTAGAAATGTAATGTAATACAACAGAGAGTCGGATAACATAACAGTCAACACCCTACCTGGTTGATTACGTTCTTCCTGAGAATGCTAAATTTGTATATCTGTGCGTGTGGATTTATATTTTCAGATTGTTTAGTTTATTTGGCTGCTTTAAATTTCCACCCGATAATCCACTTTGTTGAGCCATCGTATGTGGCCAGGTTGCTTCTGAAAAATAAGGGCGAGCGCTTGTGTTGCGTTCGAAACGTCGTGATTTATAAAAAAATTATTTTATTTCTACATACGCGACTTTACCGAAAGAACCAATGAGTGGAGCAATTCCTGCAGTCACGAAAGCTTCAATGCTAGATTAATCCACCTCTACGGGCAGGTTGTCCTTACAATTCTGTCCAAAACATATTTTTCCCTGTGTTGTCTTCTCTGTGTATGTGTAGTGGTGGTATTGACGTGCGCCGGCAGTGATGGATCACGGGGCGCGGGGTTGGGCACGCGATGTGGGCGTGGCATGGACGCGCGCGCCGGTGGTGAGGCGCGCTCACACAAGCTGGGAAAAGAGGATCGTAGCGAGTGCGCAGTGATTGGTCAGATAAGTGGGTACTCTCAGCGACGTCCGCAGGAGGGGTATAAAGGGGGACGCGCGAGAGCACTCGTGGTCAGTGTTAACCAGTTGAAGACCGAAGACGGGGTGGAGGAGGTAGGGGCCCTGTGTGGCTCGGAGCCGAGACTGGGGGGACCGTAGTCCGACGCCCGTGTGGGTCGGGACGGTGGTACCCAGAGCCGAGACGGGCACCCCGGCTGGGTGTGTCCCGGAAGGCTACAGGGCGTAAGAGCCCGTGTCAGTACAGCTGAGTGGGTGTTGGTCACCCGTGTAGCTGAGTGGGTGTTAGTCACCCGTGTAGCTGAGTGGGTGTTGGTCACCCGTGTAGCTGAGTGGGTGTTAGTCACCCGTGTAGCTGAGTGGGTGTTGGTCACCCGTGTAGCTGAGTGGGTGTTGGTCACCCGTGTAGCTAAGTGGGTGTTGGTCACCCGTGTAGCTGAGTGGGTGTTAGTCACCCGTGTAGCTGAGTGGGTGTTGGTCACCCGTGTAGCTGAGTGGGTGTTGGTCACCCGTGTAGCTAAGTGGGTGTTGGTCACCCGTGTAACGAAGTTGTAGCTGAGTGGGTGTCCGTCACCCGTGTAGCTAAGTGGGTGTTGGTCACCCGTGTAACGAAGTAGGGTGTTAGTCATCCGTGTAACTACAAGTTGGTGAAAATAAAGAGTGTGCTACCCGTGAAGTCGTCTCCTGCCGAGTTACTACTTTACATATGTATCTCGACTTCTTGTAATTTTACTTCGATATTTCGTTTACCGTGTTTGGTGTCTCCGTTTTCGTTAGTTTCCCATGTGCTTTCTCCGTTTTCGTTTTCCCATGTGTTTCCCCCCATTTGTTGGCCTGCATTGGTATTTGCATGTCCATGCACGGTTTCCCTTCCCTTCCCCCACCTCTACAGCCGAAAGAAGTCCCTGTACGTTATCCCTCCGGGCGGCTTTCTGTGTGTGCCTCTCCATGTGTGTATGTCTCTCGGTGTGGTGTTGCTCCTTGCGTCCCTCTGTACTACCCTAAACACCTTTCCCTGTGCGTCTTCTCTGTGTATGTATCTCTGCTACCTTGTACATCGTGTCTGTTCACGAGTCATTATCCTCCGTTTACATTGGTGTGTTCAGCCCAGAAGATGAACACAAGATTTAGCAGTCTTTTGAAATGCGTGGTCAACCAGGTTTAGTGTCTAACTGTGTTGTTGGCCGACCGGGTTGCATCGCGTTATGTTTCTAAGGTTTGCCGAGTTCGCGTCTCTCATCTTCTTGCTGTATTTGCCTCCGTGCAGTTTGCCGTTCTCTGTGTGCTCTGTGTGTGTGATGTCCCTGTGTGTGATGTCCCTGTGTGTGCTCTGTGTGTCATGTCCCTCTGTGTGTTCCCTCGCTGTGTAGTTTACGCCATTTTCACCTGAGGACCAACGCTTGTGTTGCGTTCAAAACGTCGTGATTTATTTTATTTTTATTTTATTTCCACATACGTGACTTTACCGAAAGAACCAGTGAGTATAGCTCAGTGGGCTTTACCTGGTAAAATAAAAAGTTTAGTTTTTTGTGATGTACTTACCTTTCCTATCCTTTGCACTCCTATCGTGTTTTTGTATTATTTGTTGTTGTAACCCTCTGACCTGTCATCACTTGACATTTATGAAAAAAAAGCTTTATAGCTCATCGGATTCCTCCAGCATAAATAAAGATTTCTGATCATGTATAGGTGGAGAGTCGTGCGGCGATTAGCGTGCCGTGCTATGAATCCCACAATCCGACTTCGATTCCCGCTCACGGCCACCAACAACAGTGACGAGATTATCCCAACCGGTCCTGGGCCTTCCGATGTCAACTCAGCCACACACACGAGTACCTGGCGCAGCGGTGTGTAAAGCATCGCCGCTGCGGATACAAAGGCTATTGTGTGGTGCTGGCCACACTCACCCCCTCGAATGCCGTGCCAGCCTTCAGCACTTTCCCCTACAGTCTGTTGAGCAGAGGTCGCAAACGGGTTTTGATTCCTTACCCCTACCCGGCCGCACCAGGGTCGCAAACGGGTACCCGTACCCGGCCGTACCCTTCCCCCTACCCCTACCCGGCCGGGTACGGGTAGGGTACGGGTATCGGGTACATGATTGTGACCTCTGGGATGAAGCCATGTTGCAGGCGCGGGTGGGTTTATTCTAGGAACTTGAATTGTGAGAAGAGACAAGACGTTGGGAAATGAGTGACAAACGGTGACTCACCAGTGACTCACGGTCTACCCGTACCTGGCTGCACCAGGGTCACACAAACGGGTAACCGTACCCGGCCGGGTACGAGTAGCCGGGTATCGGGTAGGGTACGGGTATCGGGTACCCGGTTGCGACCTCTGCTGTTGAGGCTATGCGCGGGGGGGACCTTTGTGTGTGTGTTGTGTGTACTTCACCTGCTTGATGAGGTAGGGCACCTCCTGTGGGAGCACCTCGAGCAGCCGCGCTCGCACGGCATCGAGGCTCAGCTGCATGGGCGTCTGATCGGTGAGCACGGAGCTGTGGAACCGCCACGGCGAGGCGCGGGCCCGCGACAGCAGATAGCCCTACTCATGCGCACACAGAGACAAAGGTCCCCCGAATAGCATGCGACAGACTGTTGGGGCAAGTGCTGTTAGCGAGCACCTATGGAGGCCGGCAAGGCACACGAGGGGGTGGGTGGCCGCCACCACGCCCGACCGCCTTTGTCTCCCCAGTGGCGAAGTTTTACACACCGCACCGGGTACTCATTTGAGGCCGAGTCGGCCTAGGGGAGGCCCAAGACCGGTTCAAATAATAAACACTGGTGTTGGCCGTCAGCCTTAACATACTTTTGATGCAAGTGCTTTAAGTGAGCGCCTATGAAGGCTGGCATGGTATACACACACATATACACAGTAACAGTGCCTCATCGGTGTACAATGGTAGCTATCCGTACACACACACACATATACTTGCACGTACAACACAGACTAACACACGAAGACACGACACATACAGACAAATGTAAATACATCGTAACACACACACATAGGTGCAACAACAACAGCTAGTTCTACATATAGTCACTGGGTCAAGTGTTCTCCACAAGCAATTATTATTCATAATAACGATTTACATTTATAATGCCCAGTCTTCGTTCACTCTCAAAGAGAGAACGACTCAGAGGCGCGAGGAACCACAGACAAGCGGTGCGGCAGCCACACGCCGAGCCGACGCCAACAATTGCCCAAGGTCTTCGGTCCTCTCTATATCAAGATGTTCACGGCCAATTAATGAGCATTTACACGTGGGAGGAAACCAGAGCAGCGGGAGAAAACGCACGTGTGCGAGGGGGCAAACAATCTATCCCGTACGGGTGGAGCAGGTGGAGTCCACGTTTTTGTTGTACAGTAGAACCTCTGGTAACGAACGCTTCTGACCACGACCAAATCGGGTTGCGACCAAAAAATTCACAAAATGTTTGAATCTGGTCACGAACACAAACTCGGGTGGCGATGAAACACGGCCGCGGCCGATTTCCCCTTCCGCGCCATTTTTTTTGTAAGCGCCAAATTTCCTGTCGGTCAGACGTGCGCTCATTCTTTGTGAGCGAAAGCGCTGAGTAAGTAAATCGCTAACATAAGAACCTCTTGCATCATTCATACGATGATTCGGTGAAGTAAACGTTTATACGATATTATGGTGAATGCTTCCAAAAACAATACTGTACCCAAATATTACTGTTAACTTACTTTCAATACAAACATGAATTGCTCATACGAATATTCTCTCTCTCTCTCAGACTCGACCGACTGATGTAGCAGACGAAACAATCATCTTGTTGAACGATTCTAAACCTTGAAGCGGCAATGTTAGTTTTCTCTGTTCAAGGTTTTTTCAGTGTTATTCAATGTTTTTACATTTAGTTTATTATTACACTGTGACTTCTATGGCATAATTTAACTATTTTTGTGCTTAAAAATCTTTAAAGAACAATATTTATATACAGTTCGTAGGAGTCTGGAATGGATTTATCGTATTTACATACATTCCAATGGAGAAATTAGGTTTGAGTCACAACCAAATCGGGTTGCGACCAAAGTTATGGAACGAATTATGGTCGTGACCAGAGGTTCTACTGTACTGCCTTCTCCTGGCGGGCCAGGGTATGGCACCTCCTCAACGCTCACGGGAAGGAAGATCCACCAATCCTCGCCGGTAAGGTGCACGAGGTTTAAAGGCTTGCAACCGCACTCGGCTGCATTTTCCGAATTAAAAAGTTTGCCTACAGCCCGAGTTACTCATTTAACACCGAGTCGACCTTGGGGAGGCCCAGGAAAGGTTCAGATAACACATACTTGAAAACGTTCTCCAACGTGACTTCCCAATTTGCCACGAGTTGTTCGTCACGATGCCCGATGTTTCGCTCCACGTCCAAGCACATGGAGCAAAACGTTGCGACATCGAGCGCCTATTCAGCCCCGTTCTCACAACAACAACAACCGCCATTCGCCACTAAGTGGCGGTGACGTCACCACGACGCTTGCGCCAGGCCAAGTGCACCTTGAGGCCACGTGAAGTGTCGAACGGCGCCCGCTGGCAGGAGGTCACGGGGCAGACCCAGGTGCCACGGGTCGACTGACCGAGATGACCGAGATGACTGGCTGATGCACCACCTGTGCCCCCTACTGTGCCAACTTGCTGTGCATTAGCCACCCGGCGCTCTGCTCGTTGTTGTTCTCACACACACATGCTGCACACGCGTGCTCACCCTCAGTGTTTCCACTTCGTCGCCGTTGAGCGCCGACACCATGAACACATCGTGGAAGAATGACCGAGGCGCCTTGCCATGGCGCCGAGGCCTCGTCACTTCCTTGGGAGGCTCCGCCCCTTGCTGCATAGGCTCCGCCCCTTCCTGCAGAGGCTCCGCCCCTTCCTGCAGAAGCTCCGCCCCTTCCTGCAGAGACCCCGCCTCTTCCGCAGCCACGCGTTTATCCCTGGCGAGGGCAGCGGTGACGTCGTAGCTCAGCGCCTCCGTGATCTCCAGAAGATCGCTCTTACCCTTGAGGATGTCCACCTACACCGCACGGGGGTTGTCGAGACGAAGTTTTGTTCATCGCACAATAGCAATTTTCATGACACGATGTTTATTGCAATATGTTCTGTAACTTTGTAACTGAATTCCAGCTTAACACGTGGCCTTTCGCAACCAATATTATCCGTAATACGGGGGATTTTTTGGGGGGTTAGATCGCGTAAATATGTCCTTAACTCACCACCACCCAACACGGCCAATAAGTAAGGATTGTCACGTGAACAAAAAGTGCCAAGTAGTCTACTACTTCAGCAGACCACCGGTATGCTAGGAGAGTAAACCCACAACATTTACAATTTGAGAATGACGTTTCGCTCGTGAATACAACCAGCTTCATCATGCGATTCAACAGGCGCTTATGGCAAATTGCCTGTTGAAACTGAATTTATTGTTTTTACTGCAGTTCACTCAACTTCAGCCAGCCATAAATCATTCCAATTTCACAATCTCTATCTCCATATATATAAGGCAAAGTTGGGAATGTGTGTGTGTTCAAAATGTTTAGCGTACTTCCCGACACGCAACAAACTGGAAATTTGCCATGTGGGTACCTTCCAGACTGTACACCATGCAAAAATTATAAAAACACACTTTTTTTGTGGGGGGCGGGGGGGGGGGGAAGCTCAATAATGCATATATTTTTTGCACGGCAAGTGAGCTGTGACGTCACATCTGTCACGTGACCCTCGCACGTGGAAGCGTAACGCATTGTGGTGTAGCGGTTAGCGCCACGCCGCGCTACGAACCCGGCGACCCGAGTTCGATTCCCGCTCACGGCCACCACCGGTGACGATTATTTCAACCGGTCCTGGGCCTCTCCTAGGTCGACTCAGCCTCAAACAAGTAACTGGTGTGTTGTGTGTGAACATCGCCACTGGGGAGACAAAGGCGGCCGGGCGTGGTGAATCCAAGTGCCGGGCGAAGCCGGGTAGTACAGCTAGTCACATATAACAGCGGTCCCCAACCCCCGGGGCTGTGGACCGGTACCGGTCCGTGACCTGTTAGGAACTAGGTCGCACGGCAGGAAGTGAGCGGTGATTCCGCGCGTGGCCCGCCCATTATTTTATTTACCACTTCCATCCGTGCCTCTTTCCCGTACTGCGCACTCGCCTCAGTCACAGTGTTGTTAAGCCAACAAGCTGCTAACCCCTAGTAGCCAAAATTTGTAAAAAAACAAATGTCGCTGGAGAGCTTCTTTGAAAAGGGGGAAAGAGCCAATGGTGAACCCCCCCCACCCCCACCCACCCCCCGGGTCCGTGAAAAAATTGTCTTCCACGACACCGGTCCCTGGTGCCAAAAAGGTTGGGGACCGTTGACTTATAACACACACACACAGTTATGTAACGACCATTTCCGTCAAGTTCTGAAATACGTTGCAAAGCACCCATTTAATGGTGGGGAATCATTGCGTGCAAGGGTGCAGGAGGGGAGGTGTTGCCCGTATCACACCTGGCCACCTCATCGACCAAGCACGGGTAATTCACTCACACTGATTGGCTGAGCCAATCCAGGTGATCCCCAGGTGACATCACCACTTTCCAGTGATATGTTCCATGGCCAGGTATCAAACCCAGGAAACTTGGATGACGCCAGCAGCGTGTCAACTACTATGCCATCAACAGTGGTTCGGTTTGTTGGTGGTAGAAAGAGCTGCCCGTATAGCTATTAGCAGACTACTGGGGCAAAGTCCTGTTTGCGAGCACCTTTCAAGCCAGGCACGGCACACGAGACGGGTGGGTGGCCAACACCGCGCGCCTTTGTGTCCCCAACGCTGATGTTAACACACCGCACCAGGCACTTGATTAAAGCTAACCGGCCTAGGTGAGCCCAGAACCAATTCACCCCTCTTTAAGGTCGTGAGCAGGATTTTATCTCGGATTGACAAATATGTAAATACAGTGCGCCGACCACTACATGACAGGAATGCACACTTATACACAAACGTTAATACTACATACAGACAAATACGCAGCGCTGTTGAATACGATTTGTGGCACAATCACTAAAAGCATTATGGACAATTCACGGTATCCATTATAGTGAGTGGCCTTGAAAATCACGTAGTGGGTATACTCCTATAAACACATTCCTGAGGAGGGAGCTGGTAGGAACGTTGGGTTGCTCGGTCAATGGCCAGGGTCAACGGCGGCGTGGTGTATTCCGCAAATATGCCCGACTGTGAGGGCGGGCACAAGCCAGCGTGAGTAGGTTAAACGTTGAGTTTTATAAGGGCACCACGGGGTGACCAGCCCCTCCCCACCCAGCCCCACCCCTCCCACCCCCCATCCAGCCCCACCCTCCCCACCCAGCACTCCCCACCCTCCCCACCCAGCCCCTCCCCACCCAGTCCATCCCCTCCCCACCCAGCCCCTCCCTCCCCACCCAGCCCCTCCCCACCCTCCAATCTCCACCCAGCCCCACCCCTCCCATTTTTGGATGCACGACGGACGGACACAATAATCCCCTGTGGGCTGGTGTAACCTGACGATTCATACCAGTATAAATATTGAATGAGCGGTTTTTATGCAACCTCTAAAAGTAAAAAAATGTAAACAATTTGAAAACCGCATTTCCTTAAGCTTTTAAATTAAACAGCATGCTGGCTGGTTATCAGCTGCGTCACCACACTGCTCAGGTATGCCACGTGCCAGGCAGTCCTAGTTTTGCACCATACTGTACAGTGACTATTGTGCCAATGTATTGTTGCGTTCCAGGAATGGAGTGTGGTTGCCGGTGGTTTCCGTGTTGGTATTTTTACATTGACATTTATGTATAAGCTACATATGGGGTTTTGTAAAAACCCTTAAGTCTCCGCTTATCACGGGGTTTGAATTCCTGAAAATTGCAGCGTAAAGCAAATTTGCATTAAAGTGGGAGTCATTTTCCCATAAGGAATAATGGCAAAGGTGGGGATGCCGTTCTAGTACATAATTGTATTGTTTTTGTTTGACAGTACACCGTTTGACATGTGTTGTGTTTATATAGTACTTCTATAGACACAACACCCACTCATTGTTAAAGGATTGAAAAGGATATTTCACGCGATAAAGTTCACGATTGCCGAGATGACGCTACGATCACACAGACACTGGAACAAAGACTGAGCTAGAGGAAGGTGCGCCTCGTATCGCAGAGCGCATCAGAGCTACAGTACCAGCTCCCAGGCATCACCGAACGATGCCGCCAACACCCACGCCACTCAGAAAAGTCACCTGCCATGCGCTCGCTAGCCTCGCGTTATCGCGACCGCGGCGTGCGTTAAGCGAAACACATTCCAAAAAAGTAAAAAACGCGGAGTGTGAACGCCAACACGTTAAAATGGGGATGTATTGTAACTGGGACATCCCAACCTGGAATTAGCCCAGTAATGAGGACTAACTGTACAATGGTGATATTAACATTTTACGGTTCCAATGACGCACGTGTACGTCATGATCAGTTTTTCTTCCGAGGCCATGCAGAAGGGCGTGTGGCAGTTTGGCGCAAGCTATCGTAGAGTGCGGACGTGTCGCTACAGTTCTCCGCGGTGAGTACAATGTCTTTAAAAAGAGTCGTGCTAGGCCTCTCTAAATAAAATCAATGCCGAACCGCTCGCGCGTTCCGAGATTCAGCAGTGAACGGGACCCCCACCCTGCAAATTTCAGATTTCTCGGAATGGGAAAGGGTTAACGTACGTGTGCAGCGTGTTGGTGGTATAATCGCGTGACGTGGCGTGGCCACAGCTACGCGTGGCCTCGTCAAAAACGAGTGACATGTCTCCGTTTTCTTGCAGACACTCACCTTGTTCAGCACCAGGACGCTGGGAAGCTCTGGGTTTTTGCGGAGGCAGTTTAGGGTCTGGGCGTCGAGTTGACATCGCGTTTTCAACCATGGGTCCGACACGTCCACGCACACCAACACTAAGAGAACACAAACACGTGTCCCCCCCCGTGTAGCCTTAAGACTGTTGGAACAAGTGGTATGGTCCAATAACCACACCTGGCTGCCTTTATCTCCACAGTGCTGATGTTTACACAAACCACGGGTGCTCGCTGCTAATTTCAGGCCGAGTCTAAGTATTCATAATAAAGGTTTTTGCGTTAGATCGCGTACGTATAAATGCATGTCGTAACCAAAAATGTGTGTCGTAACAAATGTTGTGGATTTACTCTCCAACACACAGGCGCGCTGAAGTCGTTACTAATTGACATGTTCTGTTCACGTGACAAACCTTGCCAGTTGTGTCTGGTGGTGGAGGGTTACAACACATTTATACTTACAGCGATCTAACTCAAAAACCTAGATTATATTGCTTGTAGAAAACCTGTGTGTTAAACTGAGTCTAAGTAGCAGAAGCCAAATATATGTTGAGATATAATTGACCACTTTTGTTGTGCTCGGCCAGGAATAAAACTCAGCTCTGTGGGTTCGAGATAGTCCACGAACCACTATGTCAATCTCCCCTCCCATCCCCCCATACACAAAGTCAAACACCCCCTGTATAGCCCCCCACTGTATGGCCATACAGACTGCAGAAGCAAATGCTGTTAGCGAGCACCAAGGCCACCCATCGAGACTTCTTCTATTCACGATGTGGCCAACTCACAGCCACAGTAATAACCATATGAAACTGAGCGATTGTCCCATTCATTTTAACACGTAGGCTTTCGCGACCAATATTATTCATAATAAAGGTTTTTGGGTTCGATCGCCGTTATTTATAAATGTGTCGTAACCCTCCACCACCCGACACGGCCAAACAGTTAAAAAAAAGTGTCACGTTGACAAAAGACTAATAGTTCACTACTTTAGCCCACCGGTGTGTTGAAGAGTGAATCACCATCATTTAAAATTTCGAGTACGACGTTTCGCTGGTAATTACATCCAGCATCATCGGGCAATTTGTCAGAATGGCGAGGACCTCCACTTGCTCCCGGTCTTTAATAGAGCAGCACGGTGACGTCATCTTTCATTCAAGAAGATTCGTCTCATCCGATACTGAACCCTCGTTAAATTTGTAGCAGGGCAATTTTATCCAATGACGAGCACTTCATAACCTAGCGCTCGCACGCAGACACCGCGAGTGCACGGTGGCGCGTACACATTGGTCCGTACCCACATCCGCTTGCTCGAGAGATGCTTGAGGATCCTTGGTGAAAGAAGGAGCCAGGCCATGTCTGCAAAAAGACAAGGACAAAACGATAAGGATTCTCAGCGTAGCCTTTAATAGACTGTTGGGCAGAGGTCGCAATCGGGTACCAGATACCCGTACCCTAACCGATACCCGGCTACCCGTACCCGGCTGGGTACGGGTACCATTTGCGACCCTGGTGCGGCCGGGTACGGGTACGGGTAGGCCGTGAGTCACTGGTGAGTAACCGTTTGTCACTCATTTCCCAACGTCTTGTCTCTTCTCACAATTCAAGTTCCTAGAATCAACCCACCCGTGCCTGCAACATGGCTTCATCCCAGAGGTCACAATCGGGTACCCGTACCCATACCCGATACCCGGCCGGGTACAGGTACCTGTTTGTGACCCTGGTGCGGCCGGGTACGGGTAAGGAATCAAAACCCGTTTGCGACCTCTGCTGTTGGGACAAGTGTTGTGAGTGAGCACACAGCAAGGCCCTCTATGGCACACGACGGGGTGGTGGGGCTCGGGGCACGCTTGGTTGCCTTCGTTTTCCCAGGGACGATGTTTAAATGCTACACCAGGTACTTGCCCATTTAAGGCCGAGAAAGCATCGCCGTTTCGATGATGTCACTTGCTGCTAATGTTAGCGATAACCGAGATTCGAACTAAAGTTTGTAGCACAGTGCTCTAACCACTGCTCCACTGCTCCCCACATACACAAACACGTATGCATTGATGTTTTGTATGCATACAAAACAACAATGCAAAAAATGGCCAAACACATTCATGAAAAAAAAGATACATTGATACTTTTCTTGATAAATGACGTTTACGTTATTGCAGATGTACATGCGTATTGTATATATATACACACACAAAGACCCTCCGTGTGGCCTTTAACAGATTGCTGAGGCAAGTGCTGTTAGCAAGCACCTATGAAGGCCGGCACGGCACACGAGGGCGTAGGTGGCCAGCACCACGCCTGACTGCCTTTGTCTCCCCAGTGGCGATGTTTACACACCGCACCAGAGCTTCAAATGAGTACTAGTCGACCTCGGGGAGGCCCAAGACCGGTTCAGATAAAATCACTGGCGTTGGCCGTAAGCAGGAATCAAACAAAGGTCGCTGGGTTTGTAGCGCAGTCCACTGACCAGTGTCAACACTCCACACACGCACTGTGCTTTGCGATGTGTGTTGGACGCACAGTATTGCATGCGCTGTCATACATTGTGTGTGTGTTGTGTACTGTGCGTTACCGTTTGGAACGAGAAGGACTTGTCAGACCAGGCGTGTCCAAGAGCACCTTAATGCATAGAACACAAGACGGCAAAACATTGAGATATACGGCCTTACTGAGTAGTGGAGTACATGTCCGTACGCAGAACCCCAAATGAGCAGCGTACTGGGTGTTTATTGCATTAAAATAGATGCATTACGTAAGATATTTAATGTAATGACGTGTTCAGATCAGTTTGCTGCACGGCTTAACCCTTTCCCACTCCAAGAAATCTGCAAAAGTTGCAGGGTAGGTCCCCCGTTGAAACTTAGAACATGCAAGCGGGAGCCCGAGTACATTTTCCGACATGAAGACATACCAATGTAAATTTATTTTCTTTCTTGTTCCAATAACATTCATGTCATGTATTATTGAACAGAATCGGGAGAAAAACCGATGACGTAAATGTACGTCTTAAGACCCTTGGGGGCCAGTGTCAAAAGGACGCACACATAGTAACCCCCCCCACCAGCCACCATGCGTAGGTCCTACCCCCCCCCCCCCAACATGTTAACCACTCCACGTCTCCCCCTCATTTTACCCACACCCCTCACGTATTTATTTTAATAAATGTTCAGCAAACCTTGTAGCATCACAACCATGAGCTCTGTAAATAAGGACTGGGCACAACCTGCATCACCTGCCAGTATGTTTGCTGTTGGATTGGGAAAGTGAATAAAGGAAATTTAAAAATATTAAAACTTGCATTATAAATGTAAACTCAAGCGTGTGCGGATGAAGGAGTGGTCATGTGACCGTTTGGGCCCGTTGAGCGGGCCCTTTGGTAACGTGTAACTGCTGAACTACGGTTAATATGTTTATGGAAAAAAAAAATATTTTGTACGATTTCATACAATTTTATGAAATATTTCTACAGTAGTTTCAAGGTAAAATTGCTGATAAACTGTAAGGCTCTCGTCAATGTAAAGCCTCTGAGTTAGCATTTGTGCTTTTAGCTTTCTGACACACCTCCACTTTACATCTGTGAATAAAGAGCTTCATAGCTCATCGGATTTATCCAAAATAAATATTCTGATAAGGTAATATTGCAATTTACAACCTAGTTTTTTCGATAAATTAAATCATACATTACCCAAAAACTCAGGTTCTAATTTAAGGCTGCGTCGACCTAGGAGAGGCCCAGGACCCTTTCAAATATTAGCCTCTGTTATTGATCGTGAGCAGGAATCGAACACGGGTGAAAGGGTTTATAGACCGCCCATGCATATGTTTCAGTACGTGTATATTAACGATGTGTGCAAACATAAGTACCGTATTAATATGGCCAATTCATAAGCTATCAGAAGAATCCCATAAATGTATATGGAGATTCCAGTATTCATTCGTATGAATAGGAGTCTAGTGGTAATTTAAGGTATCTCCACTCGACTGCACGCTTTGACAATTCTCCCAAAAAAATACTGGACAATCCGCAGTTCCAAGTCTCACCATTCTGCGAGCAATCTTAATCTGTTCCAAGCAATGCCAGGTAAGTAATCGTGACATTTGATACTCGTGTTTATACCAGTGTGTGCACGAATGAGAGGTCATGTGAGAGTGTGTGTTTATGAGTATAAATGCACGAGTCTGTTTATACGTGTCTGCTTGCACGATGAGTGTGTGTACGTGGGTAATGTGTCCCAAATGGGAGCGTAGCGGCAGCGTAGCGGTAGGCACGCTGCACTACGAACCCGGCCAACAGAGTTCAAATCCCGCTCACGGCCAAAATCGGTGGTGATTATCTAAACTGGTCCTGGACCTCCCCTCGGTCGACTCAGCCTCAAATGAGTATCTGGTGCGGTGTGTAAACATTGTCACTCGGGAGACAAATGCGGCCAGGCATGGTGCTGGCCACCCACCCCCCCTCATGTACCGTGTCGGCCTTCGTAGGTGTTTGCTAACAGCACTTGCCCCAACAGTCGATTGAGGCTATACGGGGGATCTTTGTATTTGCATGTGTGTGCATGTGAGATTGTGTATATGAATTAGTGTTCAGAGTGTATATGAGCATGTATGAATGAATGGCTCTTACGATCTGAGCATCATCTTCCGTGAGGACTCCAGCAGACGTACAGCGAGTCGTGTGAACTTTTCTGGACACACCGAAAACCTACACATTCGCCCACACACAAAATACACACGTGCGCAAATACACACGCATTAATATGTAAACGTACACACTCAAAGAATAAAACTGTGGCAGTCATTCATGCTCTGCGCAATTAACCCAGCTACCTAAATTTTATTCCTGGCTACACCGCAGTGCACGAACCACAACATAAATGCTTCCCAAAGACAAAGCCTCCCTGTATAGCCTTTAACAGGCTATCGCGTGTTGTTAGCAATCGCTTATGAAGGTCGACACGACCCACGAGGGGATGGGTGGCCAACACCATGCCCAGTCGCCTTCTCCCCAGTGGTGATATTCGCCACTGTTATTGGTCATGAGCGGGAATGAAACTTGGGTCGCCGGGTTCGCAGTGCAGTGCGCTCACCACTACACTACCACTCCCCAAGACAAATATCCCCCATATAACCTTTAATAGACGCTTGGAGCAAGTGCTGTTAGTGAGCACCTATGAAGGCTGTCATGGCACCAGAGTAGGTGGGTGGCTAGTGCCATGCCCAGCCGGATTTGTCTCCCAGTGGTAGTGTTTACACACTGCATTAGAAACTAATTTGAGGATGAGTCGACCTAAGGGAAGAGGCCCAGGACCGGTTCAGATAATCGTCACTGGTGTTGGCCGTGAGCGGGAATCAAACTCGGGTCACCAGGTTCGTAGCGCCGTGAGCTAACCACTATACTACTGCTCCCCACACATTTACATACACGTGTGCGGGCACGCACACGTAACACACTCACTCAAACTTATACACACATGCACACATAGGTAGCAGGAACCCACACATGTGTGTACCTTCCTGCCCAGGATTTGGTTGGCGAGTGTAGATTTGCCAGCGTTGGGGGCGCCTATGATGGCGACGCGGAGAAGACGAGGGCAGCTTGGCTGATCCGGGGTCAGCGCCATCTGAGCTGCGTGGGCATCTTCATTCACATGCGCATACACAGCATAGATTTAGACACAAACAATATCTATGACACATATAAACACACCACAGCTGATAACAGCCTTCATGTGTCACTAAGTGAAGATGTCACACAACGCTTGTGCCATGCTAGGTGCACTTTAGGCCACCGACGTATCCAAAGGCTTGCTGAAAGGTCATGGGACCAGACCCAGGTGTCATGGGTTAATGGACCTGACAAATCTTCTTGGTTCTTTCAGTAAAGTTACGTAGAAGGAAAGTAATAAAATAATAAAAATAAAACAGAATAAAATAATTCTCACGACGTTTCGGCCACAACGCAAGCAGCCGTCCTCAGGTGAAAACCAGGTCTGTCGGGGAGACAGCGTCTGAATGAAACAGCACACGAGCTTGGAGCGTCTATTTAAGCTGGGTTGGGAGGGGGGGGAAAGGGTGCTTCGACAAAATAATTTGCATATCAAGAGGAATTTAGCATATTTATGGGAAATGCAGGAATGTGATTAGTACTACATATGCCCGTGCGTTATGCAGGATTAGCAGCATCAAAGGCAGGGGATATGGGAAATGCAGGTATGTGAATAGTACTACATATGCCCGTGCATTATTCAGGACTAGCAGCATCAAAGATAGCTGGCAGATGCACCAGCTGTGATTCCCACTGTGCCAACTTGCTTCGTTTTTGACACCCGGAACTCCGATCGTTGTTATATACGTTACTCCTCCAGCCTCCATTGTTGTTGTCTCCTAACTGCTCAGTAGCGTATTTCACGAGCCTCTTCCACAGAGGCAGATCTTGACATCGATAGTGCCAGTCAAAGGCAAATACAATCAGCTCAAATTATCCTGTACTACATCAAGCCATCTCTGCTGTAGTCCGTGCCGTGCCTATTCGGCCCCCTCTATCTGGCCAAACTGAAACTGCTTGCGCATGCAGTTGCTGGGTTTGAGGGCAACAAAACCCACTCAATTGAGTCTCTTCAGCCAGTGGAGCTCACGGATAGGACCATGTCCAGATATATCTAGGATCCGTGAGCTATTCACACAATCCAGCAAAGTAAAACCAAGATGGATTGTTGACAGGCTAGCCTGAATGTTCCAAGCTGGAGCTGGTGTAAAGGGGTTCATGCAAACGTCGAGATGAGAGGGCAAAACTGTGGCCGAGAAGACCCGAAGAAGTTGGGTGCATCAACCATACTCACTTGCTTGTGGTAGAAGACGAATGTGAGCGATGCCATGGGGGGGGGAAGAATTACTTTAGTCATCTGGTTACCCTCATGGCACGCTCACATCCACTACAGTGGCTAATGAGGGCACTCAGACGGGTGCGATGGGCCTGGCAATCCCGTCAACGTCAACTACCAAAGGATAACCGAGAAATCCATCTAAGTATGTGTCACAAGCGCAGTGGGGACGTGGATCTTTTGACGTTCTCTGGCCAAACTGAAATCTCACTTTTGCCGTTAAAGAGGGGTATGCTAAGCTGCTGATTTTGAGGATAACTTCATTTGCAATTGCATTTGGCATATCCGTATATGTTTAGATAGTAGTACAGTACAAGTCACCCTACATCTTTTTAATGTTTCTTTCACTGAATTGCAATTGTACTATGATGAGTCAAAGAATAATCTGCTCGAGGTGACTTGCCTTACAAGGAATTCATGATATAACATTCATATATGTTCGTGCAATATTTTAGATTTCTCATTGGACGTAATTTCTACTCTGATTTCTATTGACTTTATTGCTGTACCTTTTTTACTTTTGTAATTTTGGAGACCCAGGTCACTTGCAAATGAGTTGATCCTAATCTCTTGAGAAGTCACCTGGTTAAAAAAAATTAACCTGAACTTGACATGAATCTACACAGGGCAGGAAAACGGCAATAACTAGGAGTGACTCTTCTGAATTATAGAATTGAAAGGGGGATGTGGGAACATAGTGATGAGGTGTAGAAAGCCTCGAATCCCAGACTATTGTGGGCTAGGCTTCCCGTCAAGTTGAGGAATGGTGTTGGTGGCTTCCAACCCCACCAAAAATTAACATTCACGGAGAAATGCCGGCAAGGCTGCCGAATCATGCTTCAAATTACGTCCTGTCCCAGCATACACGGTATGCTCAGTATATATACTCTACGTACAGTAACTATGTGCTGTATGTGTAAACTGCATGTTTGCTCAGGATATACTGTGTGTTTCTGTCCACTGTGGTTGTGTTGTGTATTCTGTATATACAGTGTACAATGTGTATGTGTGGACCTGGTAAAGCGCTGACGCTCAGCGAATTTGCCAGAGGGAGGCTGCCCTGTGCTGGTCCGTGGAAGGCGCTGCCGAGTACAGAGAGCTTCACCTTGTCCTCCTCATCCCGGCTGGCTCCGGCTCGCACAGCATAGCAGGCACACCCTGACGGCACATACACACACACGCACCAGCTAAAGATTGTATGGACTGTTGGCGCTAGTGCTGTTAGCGAGCACCTATCAAGGCCGGAACGGGGGTGATGTTTAAAACATGGCACCAGGTACGTATTTGAGGTCGAGTCAACCAAGGGGAGCCCCAGTACAGGTTCATATAATCGGCACTGAACTCGGGTCGCCGGGTTTGTAGCGAAGTATACTCTTCGTTCTTTCGGTAAAGTCACGTAGGTAAAAAATTGAAATTAAAATTAATAAAAAATAAAATAAAAATCACGACGTTTCGGAGGCAACACAAGTCTCCGTCATCAGGTGGGACCGTCACAGCCAGATTTGCTGCATTATTTTAATTAATTTTAATTTCATTTTTTTACCTACGTCACTTTATCGAAAGAACTAAGAGTATGAATCCTTGCGGTCACGAAAGCTTCAAATCTAGAATTTGTAGCGAAGCTCCACACTGACGCGCACTGTACAAACACGTGCACGCACGGACTGTGCATGTGTGTGTGCACACACGCACTGTACACACACACACACTGTGACACGCACTTGGTGTCGCGCCGGGGCGTCCCGCGGCGAGAAGAAGCTGGGACACGAAGCGAGGGGACGCGAAGCGAGGGGACGCGAGACGCGGCGACACGAAGCGGGCACACACGACCAGGGCCATGGGGGCGGCCATCGCGGAACCGGTTCCTGCGCACCCGACAATGAGATCCGGATCCCATAAAGTGACAGAGAGCCCAGCTACCCGGATGTTCAGATCCGGGTCCCATAGACTTACACACAGACCTATTATTAGGTTTTTTTCGGTAAAGTCACGTCGGTAAAAGAAATCTAAATTAATAAAAGTAAAATAAAATAAAAATCACGACGTTTCGGAGGCAACACAAGCCGAAACGTCGTGATTTTTATTTTATTTTTATTTTACTTTTATTAATTTTGATTTTTTTTTACATACATGACTTTACCGAAAAAAACCTAAGAATATGAATACTTGCAGTCACGAAAGCTTCAAATCTAGAATTACACACAGACCCCCCCCAGTTACCCGGATGTTGAGAGGCGGGTCCCATCGACTGACAACACAGACCCCCAGTTACCCGGATGTTGAGAGGCGGGTCCCATAGACTGACACACAAACCCCCCAGTTACCCGGATGTTGAGAGGCGGGTGCCATAGACTTACACACAGACTCCCAGTTACCCGGATGTTGAGAGGCGGGTCCCAAAGACTGACACAGACCCCTCAGTTACCCGGATGTTGAGAGGCGGGTCCCATAGACTTCCAACACAGACCCCTCAGTTACCCGGATGTTGAGAGGCGGGTCCCATAGACTTCCAACACAGACCCCTCAGTTACCCGGATGTTGAGAGGCGGGTCCCATAGACTGACACACAAACCCGTCAGTTACCCGGATGTTGAGAGGCGGGTCCCATAGACTTCCAACACAGACCCCCAGTTACCCGGATGTTGAGAGGCGGGTCCCATAGACTTCCAACACAGACCCCAGTTACCCGGATGTTGAGAGGCGGGTCCCATAGACTTCCAACACAGCCCCCCCAGTTACCCGGATGTTGAGAGGCGGGTCCCATAGACTTACAACACAGACCCCTCAGTTACCCGGATGTTGAGAGGCGGGTCCCATAGACTTCCAACACAGACCCCTCAGTTACCCGGATGTTGAGAGGCGGGTCCCATAGACTTCCAACACAGCCCCCCCAGTTACCCGGATGTTGAGAGGCGGTCCCATAGACTTCCAACACAGCCCCCCCAGTTACCCGGATGTTGAGAGGCGGGTCCCATCGACTGACAACACAGACCCCTCAGTTACCCGGATGTTGAGAGGCGGGTCCCATCGACTGACAACACAGACCCCCCAGTTACCCGGATGTTGAGAGGCGGGTCCCATAGACTGACACACAAACCCCTCAGTTACCCGGATGTTGAGAGGCGGGTCTCATAGCCCCCCAGTTACCCGGATGTTGAGAGGCGGGTCCCATAGACTGACACACAAACCCCTCAGTTACCCGGATGTTGAGAGGCGGGTCTCATAGCCCCCCAGTTACCCGGATGTTGAGAGGCGGGTCCCATAGACTGACACACAAACCCCTCAGTTACCCGGATGTTGAGAGGCGGGTCTCATAGCCCCCCAGTTACCCGGATGTTGAGAGGCGGGTCCCATAGACTTCCAACACAGACCCCTCAGTTACCCGGATGTTGAGAGGCGGGTCCCATAGCCCCCCAGTTACCCGGATGTTGAGATCGGGCTCCGCAGGTCACGTGCCACGCACAATCGTCATGGCTGCCTCCATCGTACGCAGCGTCTTTGCGCCGTCGCTGCTGTTGCTGCTGTCGCTGTCTCTCTGCTGTTTCGCGCAGACCACCACGACCCCCTCGACCCCCTCGACCCCCTCGACCCAAGCCACCCCAACGAGCACGGAGATTCCGGGAAGCCAGACCACGGCCAAGGGTGAGGGAGACGCGCGGAGCGGGGGCTGTTGGTGTGGAGAGGCGTCGCGCGTCACCATGGCGACCGCTACAATTGAACAGCATCGGCAGACTGTGATCGATCCACTGCTCGATCGATGCGAGCTTGTGAATAACTGTCGACCCATACGGGTTCTACCCGTGTCCTTGTCCAGGGAAATGAGAGTGTTCAGGTTTCATACGGCGTACAGCCGATTCAAGACGGGCAACTCCCTTGTGATGGGGACATTTCTTTGAAGTAAGGTTGAGATCAATATTGATTTGAAGCTTTCGTGACTGCAGCAATCCATACTCTTTGGTTCTTTCGGTTAAAGTCACGTAGGTATAAAGTAAAATAAGTCACGACGTTTCGGGCGCAACACAAGTGTCCGTCATCAGGTGGAAAAGCATGGCCTGCTGCTTAGGCAGACTGCATGTCGGGATGTACGCTAAACATTTTGAACAGACACATAATCACAACTTTGCCCTATATATATGGAGAGAATAGCCCTGTGAGCCATTCGGCTCTTGAATCGGGTGCAACCGCAACAAGCAAAAACATGAACAAGAAACATCTTAAAGTGACTATGCGCAAACAGAAAAATCCAGGAAAAAACAGCAACGTCTTCCAGAAAAAGCACCGTACATCAATGCTGTGTGCAAAAATCCCAGTGGGATGCAAGTCAAACAATAACAACCATAAGACAATTGCATTTGCTTCTGATGAAGATTGCGATCGAAACGTCATGATTTGTTTGATTGTATTTCTACCTACGTGACTTTACCGAAAGAACCAAAGAGTATGGATATCTGTGGTATAAAAAAGAGAGAGCTTTTGTAGGTCCTCGGATTGCTCCAGCCGTAAAATTGCATATTCTGATTCTAACAACTCAAGAGAGTCGGATTTTTCTAATTTTGCAACAAGTGGCTTGACCCGGCTTACCGAAATGGCAGCAGGTATCGGCACCTGCTGCACCGGAGCCGCATGCGGCTATTTGGCTGCCCTGTTTTGCGGGCAGCCGTATTTTTTTAAACCTAAATCTTAAACTATGGAATGTCTTGGTGACAACAAAATGTACGGTCAAACTGTGTTGTTAAAGAATAACTAAGGGGAGGGGAAATACTGAAGAGACACAGTTTATTCCATAGCATATTTTGTTTATTTAAGTCAGAATGTGTTTGTCATCTGCTGTGCACAAGCAGCTCTGCGTGTGTTGCGGCTCTCGAACTATTTTGGTCAAAGACAAAAAATATCTTCTTCTTTGAAAGGTTGCCGACCCCTGCCATGCTTCAGTGTAAAAAAAGAAATCCCCTCATGGTGTCTCTATTTATTTCCAAATGGTAATATATATTTGGTTTACATTGCATCGACTGGCCTGCATGATATGTTGAGTCGTACAGGATTTTTCCGTTTTTGGATTTTAAGTAAACAAAATCCTTGACTACAGACCCCCAGTGGCATATTTGCTCCTATTGGGCTTCCAAAAGCAAATTTTTCTCATGGATTGATGAGTTACGTGTGAATTATTCTTCACAGATTTATCCGAATTACATTGCTAAAAACCCTACAAACCACTATTTTCAGTGCAGATTTTTTTCGTGTACTATCCTGGTGCACCACGGATAACACGTTGTGCGACACTTTCCCCCACATCACTTGGGATTTCTGGAGTCCTGATATACAGGCAGACCTCGCTTAGCGCCCCTGGAAAAGTGAGCACATTCAAATCAGTGGTAAAAGGGGTCATTATACCATTATGTATATGGGAATGCGTTCCCAACGGAGTAATTTTTTCCCTGCGAACAATATATGAAGGCTTCATTTGGGGTATCGGTAATGACATAAATCATACAGGGTACATTTTCTTGGTCAGCGCTGCTGCGTGTTCTCACTCGTAAGCAACTTTGTAGATTTCTTAATCTTTTTATAAAAAACCTCCTCCAGGACAAAGCGCTATAACGAATCAGCGTTCTACGGGGTCATGCTAAGCGAGGTCTGTCTGTATATATGTGCACGGTAAGTGGGGGGGTCGTACTGGTGAGCACACTGTGCTACAAACCCGGAGACACGAGTTCTATTCCCATTCTAACATCGGTGGCGAGTGGTATTAGAACCAGTCCTGGGCGTCCACTAGGTCAACTCAGTTTTAATACATGGTGTGATGCGTCAAACAACAGCACTGGGAAGACAAAGTCGGCCAGGCACAGTGTCGTCAATAAAATTCTCACAGGCACTTGTGCCAGCCTTAATTGGTTATCGATAACAGCACTTTCATATTTTGTGAACTGCAGTTGAACGTATTAGTAATCTGTAAATAGAGCAACGTGCAAACTATATAATTAAATTGTGAATTACAAAGTCGTGGGAAATGGATATCGCAATTATCATATCTTTCCATGTGTTTTTGGGATGTATGCCCGGTGCAACCCAAAAACACATCGGAGAGCTATACAGCACAATTGTGAAAACAAACGCAGTGGAATCATCATATCGTGAAAATTAATTTAATATTTTCAGCAAAAAATGTATCACAGCAACCCTAATGTGTGTGTGCGTGTTTGCGTGTACATGAGCAGGCATGATTCCCTGCCTCTGCGACTTGAGTCAAGATGGCTGCGATGTCAGCTGCGGCTGTGACAACGACTGCACAGCCTATGAACGCGAAGTATTCACATCAAGTCCACAAGACCGGTGACACAAACAGCACGAGATGGGCACGACAAAAAGCACACCACACAATACAAAACAACGTGGATTTACAGAACGTCTAAATGCGATTGCATCTGAAGGTGCTGTAGAGAAACAGTGAGCATGTTTACTTTATAGGGGCAGTCATAGAGACCTTTACAATTATGTTGAGAGCCACAGGTTTACGTAGAGATCTATAGACTGATTACATAGAGATCCCAAAGACTTGTGTAGAAATACAATGTAAATTTACATAGCGTATAAGGGTGACTGCATCTCAAGATGCTATTCAGAAATAATGGTTATATTTATTTATTTTACAGAAAGAGGCGGTCATAGAAGAAATACGAAACGACTTGAACCTGGACTGGAACAGGGGCAAGGGAGTAAATAGTATGGATGACTGGGCAGATGGAATTTCCAGACTATGGTGGCAGCGGAGGAGAATGAGCAACCTCCAACTGACTGGGAGCTTCAGCGGAGACTCCGTGCAGAGGAGTAGAGTGAGATTAGAGGGGAGAGGTCGATCGGATTGGGAGCCAGGGAAGTGATCGGGGTTTTGGAATGATGTGGTCTCGTTTACGGGTGCGGGTCAGGAGTTGGGCAGCGGCAAACCTGACATAAGCAGACACAATGGAAGACAAGATGACGAACATTACCGGATGGTAAGGCGATTGGGTGGCTCAGGTGTTAGAACACCAAGTTGTTATCACCGAAATCGTGGGTTTCAATCTGGATTTCAGTTGTCCATGAGTTATCAGTAGGGTGTGGTGCAGCAAAATCAATTGTTGTAGTGTTCTATGCTCCTGTGTTTGAGTCACCACATTCGCCAACTTACACTGAACAGCATACTGAGTTATTGCCAAATAACCCCCATGAACGGCACAGTGTGGGGAGACCCTCTTCCAGCAGTGGATTGACGAAGAGGGCGTTTAAGTATACACAAGACAAAAGTACGTAAAAATATGAGTACCACAGGGCATTAGTACTCATGATAACAGAATACGCGAAGCACACAACATACTCAGATTGCGTACCGGCCCGGGTGTGTGATTATGGTTGTTTTATGCATGTCCGTGTGCAGATGGGCGCGTGTGTGTGTGCCGACCTCCACATTCTTCAAACACAACACCCCCTACAGCCTCGACGACAGCCGGCCCAGCCTGGCCTGCATCACCCACAACGACTGTGAGTTACTCGCCAAGTCATCCGCCAACAGCACCCCATCGTTGTCATCATCAGCACTAATTTACAGGATGGATTCTCCATGCCATCGCCATGTCTGTGGCCCTGTGATGGTTGAGCCCAAATCCACAACAGAGTGTCGTGTCTCCTCTTTTGATGTGCCGCATGTGCAGTGTGAAACGCTTGCCCTTTTTCCAAAACCTGTCTTGTGTATTCCTCAAATCTCCCTGCACTGTAATGCATGCGTCACATCTCAGTAAATCAAACCACGTTTAATTATCTAGCACACATTGCATGTATCAAAGCACAATTCCCAACCCCCCCCCCACCCCCTTCATGTATACGTTTGTGCAGCTGCATGAAATGACCACCTTTTCCTGAGAACCTTAACCAATGGAAGAGCGGGGAAATTTGAAGCGTGACGGTGACGTGTCTTTAATGCATGTGATAAACACGTGATTGAGAAGCAAAACAAATAGGAAAATGCACGCAGAGTTGCGTCCTGAGTAAAAGTAATTACCGTATTTATCAAAAGTATTTACTGCAGGATAAATAAACATCAGCATTGTAAACACACGGAGCGCTGAGCACTCCGAGCACACGATCGCACGAGCTATTTGCCCTGCAAGCTGCAGCGAGTGTCGCCTATGTACACACCGATGCAGATGCGGCTCGTGCATGGTGGTCTAGCAGCGAGCAACAACTTGCGTCGTACATAACCCCCCAGGACTCTTAACATCACTATTATTAACCTCACTGTAATTCTTAACTTAAAGCTTTCGTGACCGCAGGAATTAATATTCTTTGGGTCTTTCGGTGAAGTCACGCAGATAGGTTCAAAGAAAATAACAAAATAACAAATAACTACGACGTTTCGATCGTAACATTAACATAGCCACCTTGGTTTGCTCGCCGTGGTGGATGATCGGCGATCTTACATTGACATGCTAATTTTTGCCTGGCAGCCCTTTGATTGGTGGAAAACGCACCACCACCTCGGTCGCTGCCCACCACTTGCATTAGCATTGGCTGCTGACATTTGGGCTACGCCCATTTCAAACCTTTATATAAACAGTTGTCTTTAGAAGCTAACCCCCCTTTTCCTGATGACGACTGCTTGTGTTGCGATCGAAACGTCGTAGTTATTTGTTATTTTGTTATTTTCTTTGAACCTATCGACGTGACTTTACCGAAAGACCCAAAGAACACTCACTGTAATTGCTTCGCTATTTCTTGATTTTCTTCAAAGGCTTAAATATGGTTTGCTCATTCAGGTAAGCTGATTTCTTGTACACGTGATATGTATTTTTTTACGTGCATGTTATGCTGTGTTTCTTGTCCTTCCCCCGCACCACCGATTAGCATGGTTGGCTATGTACGGTGCGAAAGAAGTTTTACATTCATACATACAAAATTGTGTTGGACGAACAATAGCCCTGATGGGAAAAATAGGGTTGCATTTGGTCCGAAATGATCACCCCCTCCCTCTTTGTTTAAATAATTCTACATGATTTCCATCCTTGTTATTGTACAAAAGGATGCTGAGTGGCGCTACAATTCTTGTGTGTCATGCGGACTCCCATTTCTTTTATTTCACTTCACCGCGGCACTCACGCCTGACGCTCGCCCCTAACACTGTCACTTGAACGTTAATGATTCGCCATCTAGGCATCCGTATGACTAACATCCTCAGCGAATGGACAGTCGCATGCGGCAATGTGGAAACATTTGCGTTGTGCCATTGTGCGCGTTGTGTTGCGCATATACATGGTCGATTAATGCCCACCTTCCAACGGATGCAGAATTATTAACGCCACTCTTTTTTTTTCCATGCGGAGATGCGAATCTTAGCAGCATCAAACTGCATATCACCGAAATATGACCCCCTCTCTCTCTGTTTAAGGCCTCGACACAGAGGCGTGGTTTCTCTGTGTGCTTATGTGTGTGTCTCTCTTTATGTGTCTCTGTGTTATATCTCTCTGCTTATATGTCTGTCTATATGTCCCCGGTTCTGTGTTTTATCTCTCTCTCTCAAATTTAGCATTCTCTGGAAGAACGTAATCAACCAGGTAGGGTGTTGACTGTTATGTTAGCCGACCCTCTGTGTTGTATTGCATTATATTTCTAAGTATACTAGGTTTGTTTTCTATTTCATTTGTACCTGATGATGATTGCTTGTGTTGCAATCAAAACGTCGTATTCTATTATTTAATTGATTATTTTCTCTTTATACGTGACTTTACCGAAAGAACCAAAGAGTAATTCCTGCAGTCACGAAAGCTCCAAATAAAGTTTTATGACCCCCGTGTTCTGTAAAACAGACCTCATCAGGTAAACCGTGTAGAGCCTAGATACGTGTTCGATAAAGCCACGTTGGGCAAGGTTTTCCTGTGTAGCGGCCTGCGCTGTGATACACATGCATAACATCAAGAGAAACTCAATGTTCCGTGTATTGTCAGGCTTAATCAATTGAGCACCCGCGCGGTCTCCAAGGTTTTCACTCTCGCATGTGCACGCACATTTTTCTGCTTCCAGTTTCGTGTCGAAACTTCTACCCGGTCATGCGCAACATCACGGAATTCGACAAAGAAGTGTTGCAAAGCGGAGTGGGTACAGCGTTCATGTGGGTGGAGAAGACACCAGAAGCTTGCACAACAAGACCATACAGGGTCAGTGCACACACCTAGAGTATGAAGATGAAGATCCCCCATTTGGTCTTAACAGACTGTTGGGGCAAGTGTTGTTAGCACCTATGAAAGCCAGCATGCCACACCAGGGGGTGGGTTGCCAGGACCACGCCTAATCGCCTTTGTCTCCATCGTGGCGATATGAACACATTGCACTCGATATTCATTTGAGGCTCAGTCGACCTAGAGAAGGCCCAGGATCAGTTCAGATAATCGTCACCGATGTTGGCCGTAAGCAGGAATCGAAATCGGGTCACCGGGTTCATAGCGCAGCGCGCTAACCACTGCTACCCCCCAGGGGCAGTACACAAACATATACACATTCGGGGTCAGTACACACCTAGGGTATAAACACATTCCTGCGGAGGGAGCTGGTAGGAACGTTGGGTTGCTCGGTCAATGGCCAGGGTGAAAGGCGGCGTGGTGTATTCCGCAAATATGGCCGACTGTGAGGGCGGGCACAAGCCGGCGTGAGTCGGTTAAACGTTGAGTTTTATAAGGGCACCACGGGGTGACCAGCCCCTCCCCACCCAGCCCCTCCCCATCCTCCCCACCCAGCCCCTCCCCACACTCCCCTCCCCACCCAGCCCCTCCCTCCCCACCCAGCCCCTCCCTGCACGACGGACGGACGGACACAATAATCCCCTGTGGGCTGGTGTAACCAGGAGGTTCCTACCAGTATCACTGCCATTTTCCACTAAGTGACGGTGACATCACCAAAGCGCTTGTGCTAGGCTAGGTGCACCTTGATGGCCAAGTAAAGTGTCGAAGGCTCTCTGGCAGGAGGTCATGGGACAACCCCAGGTGTTACCAGTTGACCGAGTGAGACGACTGCCAGATGCACCATCTGTGCCCCTCACTGTGCCTCCTAGTTGCGTTATAGGCACTAGACGTTTTGCTCATTGTTGTGAGCATCGCTCCTCTGCCCTCAAATGTTATTGGAGGGTGACTGCCTCCATCTGCCCAGTAGCGTCCTCCATATGAGCCTCTTCCACAGAGGCCAATCTTGACACCACCAGTACCAGTTATCTGCAAGTCCAATCAGCTCCAGGTCTTTTTTTTACATCAGTCTACCTCTCCTCTATCCTCTGATGTGGTCGTATAGCCAGGCATTGCAGTGGCTTGGCATGCAGACTATAGTACATTACCCACCCAACACAGCTTCGTCTGCTGGGGCTCACTGATGGGATTGTGTCCAGATCTTTCATGGATCTGTGAGCTCTTCACACAATCAAATCTGGTTAAATCCTGAATGGAACATAGGCAGGCCAGCCTGAATGTTTCAAACCAGCACAAATGTTCCTTTAAAGGTCTCCACATTTCGCAAGCATAGAGAAGGGAGGGCATAACTGTGGCTGAGAAGATCCGGAGCTTCTTATGGAGTAATAGACCAGGTAGCTTCCATACAGTGTTATGCAGCTAATGAAAATATAATGCGGCTTGACAGCAGAGTACAAAGATCCCCCGTATAGCCCTAACAGGATGTTGGGGCAAGTTCTGTTAGCGACCATCTATGAAGCCCAACACGGCACACGAGGGGGTGGGTGGCCTTTGTCTTCCCAGTGGCGATGTTTACACACAGCACCAGGTACTAATTTAAAGCTGAGTCGACCTAGGAGAGACCCAGGACCGGTTTAGATAATCGTCACTAGTGCCGACTGCGAGCGGGAATCAAACCCGGTTAGCCGGGTTCGTAGCGCAGCATGTCACAAGAGCGATTAATCCGGTACGCACCTTCTATTGATAGCTTTGATTTTTGTGCACGCAAAAAACGGCAGGATGTACAAGCACAATGTGCATGCATAATGTATGTTGATTACCCTATGATTAACCCAACCAGTAATTGATATCCATTGTAATGTATATTCATTCATTAACCTGATTGGTTCACAAGTGACGACATCACATTTATCCCTCTATTTAAGAACGAAACAGGAGGATTTCTCCACAAATATCGCCGTTGCCTGATTATGATAGTTATAATTACCGGCGAAACGTCGTACTACAAATTGTAATTGTTGTGGGTTTACTCTCCAACACACCGGTGTGCTGTACTCGTAACGAATTGGCCACGTTCTGTTTACGTGACAAACCTTGCCAATTGGCTGTGTCGGGTGGTGGCTGGTTTAATGACACATTTATATTGATGCGATCTAACCCAAACAAACCCTCTATTATGCACCTTTGCCTGTTCTCAACAAATGCCCAAACCATCTGAGCCGAGCCTGCTTCACCGTGACAAACTGTCGGGGTTGGCCACTCAGCCTTGAAGGAACGGCCAGTGAAAATCATGAAACTCGGATTTTTTAAATTAGTGAAAGTAGTGACTGTAGTCCACCATTGGAACCTCCTTTGCCAGTAGCAAAATATGATAATTGTTTTTTTACCGTTTTATCTGACAACCGAACTGACAGCGTCATCTGGTCCAACACCATGTGAGACTAGGCTCTAAGAAAAGCTGTCTCGGATGTGGACCAATCAATTTCAAGGACAGTGCATACATTATCAGAGTTGTGTTTTTTGTTTGCATTACGACCGCAGGTATTGTGGTCAATGCAAACATGACTCCTTGTAAACAAGGTGTGAGTTTTGTTGCCAGATAAAAGGGTAAAAAAACAATTATCATAGTGACTGTAGTTTTAATTATTTAACTGTCTCTGTGTCTCTGTTTCTGACTTTCTTTGTGTTTTTGTGTCATCCAGGTGTGTGACCCTATTGAGGTTGTGTTCGAGTCTAATGTACGAACTCGTTTCTCTGTCCCTGTCCCCGTCTCTCCAACCGGAATCTGTGGGCGTGGTGGCCCTGTGGGTGAGGACATCAACACCATCAACAGCGTTGACTTCATCACCATCACCATCATATGCATCATCATCATTACCAATGCTATCATCAACAACACGATGGCAATTGACATCCCCGCAAATGATGTCTTCAACATACAGGCGGTCAACGGTTTTACGACGGTTCGATTGACCACGATCCACATTTATGATGTTTATATAATGCCACCATGGATCAATTTACGACGCAGAAACTTGATTTACAACGCAACTTCCAACATGACTCCGAACGCATTTGAACAGTCAGTCTGGTTTGCGATGTGACTTGGTGGCATTCTCAAGTATTTATGTGTATTTCTATTTATGTGTATTTCTACCTATTGAAATATTGTTAAATGTAGCTGATGAAAGGAAAAACACATCGGCAAGTGAAGGCTCTACTGTATATGGGAAAGCAGATTTGATTTATGACGAGGTTTGCAGGAACGCATTGTTTCGTAAATGCAGGGACCGCCTGTATATTAACATCCTCATCACCATCAACCGCGTCATTACCAGTACGATTATGTTGAACTTCGAACTTGAACTTCTTTCACACCGTACGGAGCCAATCATGCTAATTGGAGGTGAATGACATTACATTAACAACATTACTACAATCGACATCACCATCTTCATCATTACCAACACTATTACCAACATCACAATTAAACATCATGGCCAACATCACGAATATCACCACCACCACCACCATAAGCAACATTACCAGAAAAATTTATCACTATTATCATCAACACCACTGTCAACTTTTAGAGCAATTTTACAATCAAATATCAGAATCAATATTGTCATCAACACCACCACCACCACAATAATCAACATCATCATCTCTGCCATCATCATCACAATCAACATTGGCAACACTATCAGAATAAACAACATCATTAACAGCACCACAGTCTGGTAATGGATATGCTTCATTGTATATAATGTGTGCGTGTTCCATTCTTGATGGGAACTCTTCCAGCTAGCCATAGAACGATTTATTAATTGAAATTGATATTCATATTCACATTGCATGCATTGAATCTTGCGTAGAACGTGATCATTATCCACAATGCAAATGGAATGCTAAAATGCCTTTCAACTGAATGAATGAGACAACACAAGCAAGGCATATAATACTAATGGGTCAGTAAAAATTAGACCAAACACTCTTGAATTATAAAATGTCCTATAATCACGGCAATTAATGTAACGTGTCAGATTGCATCGCGTCTGTCTGTTGGTGTGCGTGCAGGGTTTCGAATGGACCGTTCAGTATCGTGCCTGCGTTTGATTAGTGACCTCAAAACGGCATGCACAGAAAACTCTTTCCTTGACGGGAAAATCTTCACCACCTTCAGTTTCCTCAAGGTTAGTTAGCTTCGTTTAAAGGTTTCAAGCACTGGGTGCTGGTTTTCTCTCTGGTGCCACATTTTTATGACAACAGTGGAACCTCGGTATACGTCGTTAATTCTTTCCAGAAGGTAGGACTTATACCGAAAATGACGTATCCCAAACGAATTTAAATAATCCGTTCCAGAGGAAAATAAATGATATTTTACATGGCATATTATACATTAATGGGGTTGTATAAAATAATTTGGACACTAATTACTAAAATGTATACAGAAGCCACGTGACTGCTCTGCTGCCAGCTGTGCTGGTCACATGGCGTGCCTCAACCCCGCACGTCGCGCGCCTTGACCCGGGGCTCCACCCTCCATGGGGGCAGCCCCCCACACCCCCTGCACCTCTCCCCCACGCCACCCCACCCCTCTCGCTTTGTTTCAGTCGTGAACGGCAGAGGTCGCAAACGGGTTTTAATTCCTTACCCGTACCCGGCCGCACCAGGGTCGCAAACGGGTACCCGTACCCGTACCCGGCCGGGTACGGGTAGCCGGGTATCGGGTAGGGTACGGGTATCGGGTACCCGGTTGCGACCTCTGCTCGGCATGGGTCAGTTGTAGAGTGGAGCAGAGCTATCTGCCTTCCGCAGGGAATTAATAATGTCTGTCAGGTCACGGCGCCAGAATTTATGAAATTCGTGGTTCAATCTCCAGGACTGGATGTCCCTTAACCCTTTCCTGTTCTGAGACGTCTGCAAGTCGCAGGGTGGGGTCTCGTTGACTGCTGAATCTCGGAACGACGTGCAAGTGGTTTGTGTTAATTCTATTTAGAGAGGCATAGCGCCATTGTTTTTAAAGACATTGTACTCACAGCAGAGAACTGTAGCGACACGACCGCACTCTACGATAGCTGGCGCCAAACTTTGCCACACACCCTCCCGCATGGCCTTGTGGGAGCCTCGATACGTCTTCTGACCTAAAGACTCGCCAATAAAGTTATTTTTTTATGATATACACATACATACCCACATGTCATTGGAATGGGAAAGGTTTAATTAGTTTCATGTGATTCATAATGGTCATGTTGGACATTTGAGCCAACACTTGTAAATTGTGGGTTTTGAACCAAGTGAAAACTGATGCATTTTTGCTTCTTGTATTCTGCTCCCAGGTTCTTCTGAATGAAACTACTCTGCATCAAGAAGTCGATTTGGTCCCCGTCATATGGCAAGATACACCCAAAAATGTTAGTTGGACCTCGGACCACTGTGCAAATGCATTGATAAAGGTATAAAACATACGCTACCAATAACAAAAACAACTGCCATTCACCACAAAGTAGCGGTGACATCACCACGGCGCTTGTGCCAAGCTATTTTCACTTTGAGGCCACGTGAAGTGTTGATCGCCCGCTGGCAGGTCACGAGACAGACCCAGGTGCCATGGGTTGACTGACTGAGATGACTGGCCAATGTACCACCTGTGCCCCCTACTGTGTCAACTTGATGTGTTTTAGCCGCCCGGCGCTCCGCTCATTGTTGTGAGCGTCGCATCAGCTCCATATCCTCTCGAACCACATTCTATCTCTTCTCTAGCCCATGCTGCGCCCGTTTAGCCCCCCCCCCCCCCCACCCCTGGTTAAACCCAGGCTAGATCGTCGGCAGGCTAGCCAGAATTTTTCTAACCGGCGAAGATGTTCCATTAGGGGGGGTCCACGTTTTGCAAGCTTAGAGAAGGGAGGGCATGTCTGGCCGAGAAGATCCGAAGCTTCAAGTGGAGTGACAGACCAAGTAATCTTCCACACAGTGTTACGCAGCCGATGAAAATATAATGCCGCTCGACTGATGCAGAGTGAGACCTCTACTGTCAAACCAAAGTTTGTCAGAAGTGTACTGCCCAGGTATGGACTCTCCACGACTACCACACCAATGGGGAGTTGAGGGTGTGGAGTGTTAAATGATACAAAATACCCAGGCAGGTGCTTAGTTTTGGAGGCTCAGGCTCTATCTCTTAGTAGCACGCTCCAGCAGTGCCTCCAACTCCTCCGCAGAGTGAGCAGTAATCACGAGATCATCAGCGTAATAACACGGTTGGCCAATAGGGAGCCATGCCTCGACCACACCCAAGCATCGATCTGCTTCTCTTTGTATAGAAGTGTAGTGACTAACTCGGAGACGATAAGACTTGGAGGCACTTTTATTTAACGAGTACCATCCTACTTCCAGCAACAGCCCCGAGTTCCCCCATAGGGGCACCTCTTATACTCTCAGCGTGGCCTCGCTCCGCACGGGCCACGTCCCTTTCTGCCCAGGCCACGCCCCCTTTCCGCCCGGGCCACGCCCCCTTTCTGGAACCTACTAGCCGGTTCCTGAGACTTCCTGATGGGCCCCCCTATGGGCCCCTCCTCTGTGACCCTTCCCCGAGATGTCCCCCTCTGGTGTCTATCGTAGCCTGCTGATGTCAGTACTGCTCATAACAAATGTTTTTGGGTCAGACACGGCGAAACAGTAAAAAAATGTGTCACGTTTTTTAAAGGGCAAAATGATTCACTTCTTTAGCCCACCGGTGTGTTGAAGAGAGATTCAACAGCATTTGAAAATTTGAGTACGACGTTTTAGCTGGTAATTACATTCAGCTTCATCGGGCAAGAATGGCGAAGCTCTCCTGTTGCTCCCGGTCTTAAATAGAGCAGCAGCAGCAGGGTGACGTCATCATTTAATTCAATCTGGTGCAGTGATTCGAGGCTAAGAGGGGGGGAGGGTATTGTAATTATCTAGATTGGTAATCATTCAATTGTTATTCATTGGTATTTGTTTCCCTTCTAAGGAATTGTAATTGTATTTATTTAATAATACGCTTCAGTACTGCTGTACACCGCAGTTCCCCATTTTCGCCAGCAGCCAGCACTATGCCACTAGGTATGTACCAGATGGAAAATCCTCCAGTACAGCCATGGCTCCTCGAAGTACGTGGTCGAAAAAGATGTAAAATAATGTAGGTGCCAGAGGACATCCCTGTCGCACCCCAAAGTGAAAAGGGAATGGCTCTGATACACATACGCACATACATGCACATAGACATAACGAAGAAATGTCTATACATGTTCCCACACATTCACGCACAACGTTCATGCATGAATGCACGCATTACACACGAAAATATGTGCTCGCACAATCGCATATGTATGCATTCAGAGTGCAATGTTATTTCATCCCAGGGATGATTCAATCAATGTTATCATGCACGTACAACAATGCAGGGACACGTGTAATAATATGTGTGCATGCAGGTGTAATGTGGTGTGCAGTGTGTTTAGGAGTGGTGTATTGTATGCAGATGTGGTACCTGTGATTCGGGTGTATAATGGACGTTGGTTTTGCACATGTATGTATTGTGTGGACAAACACGTTTCTTACAGGCGTAGCATAGCTTGTGTTCTGGTGTCATGTGTTGCTTGTACGTGTGTGTTAGGTACAGCCATGGTGTGCATGAGTATTGTCTGTGTGGTGTGTGCGAGTGAGATATGGCGAGCAAGTGTGTGCTGTAGTGTGCTCAGATGTGCCATGAATTGTGACCTGTGTACATAGATGTGCATTAATGGTGTAGCTTGTACAGGTGTAGTGTGTACAAGTGTGCTGTGTACTGTGTTGTTTCTGCGATCAGGTTCAGTTCAACGTGCAGTATAATGCTGCCTCGGGCTACATTGATAACGTGACGGCAATAATAGACCAGGCGAACTTGACACCCATCAACTCCTCCTTACTTCAGACATTCACTGTCTCCTTCGTTTCGGTACGTATATTGTGCAGGTATGTATGTACAGGTACTGTGTGCATGTGTCTTTGTTGTAGGTCGACTCAGCCTCAAATGTGTACCTGGTGCGATGTGTAAACAACACTACTGGGGAGACAAAAATCAGCCGGGAATGGTGCTGGCTACACCACCTTCTCGTGTGCCGTGCCGGCCTTAATAGGTGCTCACTAACAGCGCTTGCCCCTAAAGTCTTTTAAAGTGCTACGGCAGATCTTTGTCTTCTTGTATTTCGTGTTGTCCAATCGTAGGGGGACCGTAGGTGGTGCATCTGCCAGTAATCTCAGTCAACCCATGGCACCCCGTGACCTTTTAGCAAGCCTTCGACACTTCACATGGCCTCAAAGTGCACCTAGCCTGACAAGCATTGTGTTACGTCACCGCCACTTAGGGGCATATGGCAGCTGTTGTTGTCCTTTGTGCCTGAATGTGATGCTGCCAACGGTAACACGACTCGTATGTGTGACTGCGGCTTGAAGACCAATACGTTAGTGGCAGTCTTTCCCACGGTGATTGTAATTTTAGGGTAACATTTGAGGAAAGGTTGCCTGTTGAAACTCTAGTTGTTTACGAAGTGTATGTGTGGTGTGTGCTGACTGAGCACACAACTTGGCACAGTGGCAAGTACAGAGGGTGCATCTACCAGTCATCTCGGTTGACCCATAAAACCTGCATGTCCCGTGACTTCTTGCCAGCAAGCATTGGACACTTCATGTGATCTCAAAATATGCACGTGCGTTTGAAGAGAGCAGTTAAATGCAATGATGCGTGTTGTCCACAATGATCTTTGAAACCGTTGGTGCTTGTATAAAAGCATAAATGTGTGTAAATAGGTGTGCATGCATTGGAGTCTGCACGCGTGTGTGTGTGTGTACCTGTGTATGTGTCTGGGCGCAGAATGAGAGGAATATACCTACCAAGCGTAGTGGGAACCCAGGATACCTTTGGGATCATCCACTGCTTGGCATCTCAAACACTTCATATCCTTCAGCCAACACTTACACACACACGTGCACAGCCCTTTTGTGAATCCACTGTTAGATGGGGGCCTTCCCCGCTCCATGCGTGTCATGAGGGAGAGTTGACCATAATTTACCAGAGTGGTCAGTGTGACCATAGAAAGTACAGAACCACAATGGATTTTAGTAATATGTTTTTACCCTTTTATCTGGCACCAAAACTGACACCTTTATACAAGGGATCATGTTTGCAATAACCACAACACTTGCAGTCGAAATGCAACAATGGATGTTGCTGCACTATTCACATAGGCCACACACAGCAGCTTGCAGTAATCTGACATGCGTGGTGGTTGCTCGTCTTAAGTGCTATTTAGGAAACGTACACATAAGGGACGAGTTCCAGATTTTGTAAAAATTCAGATTTTTCAGCGCGTCAACATTTACATACTAAAGCTAGTGGATTCTCACGCGTGACTTTTCGATCGCGAGTGTAGAAATTTGCTAAAATAAATCTACCTTAATTTTTAAACCTTTTAGCCGATGCAACCATTGCATGCCTTGCACACGTTCGTATAATTTGGCCCGCATATATGTAACACAAAATTGTAAACGACCGTGCCTTTGGCGGTGCAAGTATCGGCACACATCCAGAGGTTTCAGAGGTCAATTGCTTAGGCACGATCCTCAAACATCCACTGTGATATTATCCCGTGTAAACACATCCTGGTAGCGATGAAATTGGCTCGTGTGCAGCAGGTGCTAGGTGGATTATTACCTCTGAAGATGGCGAGAGATGGCAATGGCTTACGGGGAGGCCTTCAACCAGCAGTAGATGTATAAATTGAAGACATTCCTACACGTGCATGACCTCTCGTGTACGTCTCGATTCCCTGCTTCCTTGACCACCCCCCCTCACCACGCGAATTCAAGTTCATCTCCCGACTGACACGGACTGCGATCGTCAGCGTCGGCCGGCTCTCTTTGGAGTGCAAACCTTAGCTGGATGCACCCTCAGGTTTGTCTCTCACCCAACAGCCCCCGGGGAATGACACATGCGGTTAAAGGTGACCAAGTCAAGAGTGCCTAGTTCTGTGTGCCTAAATTCAATTTCGCACCGTACGTAGTCAACCGTGCTAATCGGACTTGCGGGGGAAGGACAACAAACTAAACACCAAAAGTAGTTCTCAAGAAATGAGTTTTTTTTTATTCTAGATTTTAAAGTGCACAGCTCCAATGGCTTCCTAATATCGGAAGAGCATTCCAGACGGCCGCGGAAACGCATCTGAAAGCACGATGTAGTGACCGTCTTTGTTCGATGGCTAGCCAAAAGCCGCTGTGAAGATGAACGGAGTTCCTGTGATGGTCTATGCTTCTTTGACGAGATTAGCAAGGTTTTGTGGTTCATTTGTGGCAAGCACTTTGTGTGTATTCAGTGCGACCTTATAATGTATTCGTTCGGCAACAGGAAACCAACAATGGCAGAGGTCAGATCCGGCACCTTGGTCTGAGTATCTCTCTTTCATGTACATGTGTACAGCTCTTTTTAAATCCTTTATATTAAGTTCGCGTGCTTGCTTGCGTGCTTGCTTGCTTGCGTGCTTGCTTGCTTAGGACCGTGCAAATCTTTCGATCGTTTTTTAACCCACTTCCCGTGATCCAATCGAGCTGACATTTTCCACACAGACTCGTTGTGCCAGACAATTATTGTTCATGAAAAAAAATTCCCAAAATTTTACACTTTTTAAGCAAAAAAAAAATATTTTACATATATTCAAATAGAACGCATTCATGGCTTTGGCTGAACGTCAGAGTGTAAGAGCCCAGAGCGTAACCCCTACACAGGCCGTGGCGGAGTAGCGCAGTTGGTAGCGCCCTCGCTTCCCCTGCCAAAGGTCGCGGGATCGATCCCCGCGTCCTCCACAGGCGAATATATTTTTAAATCCTTTATATTAAGTTCGCTGCCACGCATATAAAGGATTTATAGTGAAAAACTTTGTTTTTACGGGTTATACTTATTGCTCATCTGCTGTTGGATGATCCCCCCATTCCACACGCGTATGCGAAGAGTTATTTGACGATACTTCACCTCACTGGTCAGTATGGTTCGGTGAAAACATTGAGCTTAGTTATTGGATAATAAAATGACAGTGCAACAATGTATTGCGCTGCACTTCCCATCCGACGCTGACCACATAATCCCGCAGCCTCTAATAACCTGACTACTGTGTAGTGGTCACTCTTGCAAGCACTGTCCAGAGTCAACGCCGCTTCACTTCCAAGATCTGATCGGGGTTTGGTGCGTTGCCGTGACTTGATCACAAGCATCTCCCTTTCAGGAGGTGCATAGTGGCCAGGTCAGGGCACAGCCATTGCCACTGAACACTTGGGTTCAAACCCTCATGTTGCTTCCAAAGCGTTGAATCATCACCACCACTAAGATCTTGATTTTACTCCCTTGTCACTAGGGGTTCATAATAACCATGCTGGTATACTGCACCAGTATCTCTTATGTGTGGGTTCATGCCCTGGTGTAGGGTGTCTCTTCCACGTAACACATTCCTGCGGAGGGAGCTGGTAGGAATGTTGGGTTGTTCGGTCAATGGCCAGGGTCAACGGCGGCGTGGTGTATTCCGCAAATATGCCCGACTGTGAGGGCGGGCACAGGCCGGCGTGAGTAGGTTAAACGTTGAGTTTTATAAGGGCACCACGGGGTGACCAGCCCCTCCCCACCCAGCCCCACCCCTCCCACCCCCCACCCAGCCCCACCTTCCCCACCCAGCCCCTCCCCACCCTCCCCTCCCCACCCAGCCTCTCCCTGCACGATGGATGGACGGACCCAATAATCCCCTGTGGGCTGGTGTAACCAGGAGGTTCCTACCAGTATCGTGCTGATATGGTCGTGTGTGTTGCCGATGTGTCATTGTGCGCAGGCTGGACAATCAAACGAACTGCATGGAAATACAGCGCCGTGTGTTGAACGCATGGCTCGGTAACGGAAACCAAAGCTATCCGGAGAACCTGACACAGTGGGGAGACGCGATGGATCTGAAAATGGAGGCACCCTCTGTACCCATCGTGGGATTGGCCACACTTTTGGTAAGCTCAGACTATAAACAATGTCCCCCCTTTTACCTATAGAGACTGTTGGAGCAATTGTTGTTCGCGAGCAACGATTAAGGCTGGCTGTTGTGTGGGCTGGCATCATGTCCAGTGACACTTTGTCTCTCCATTGCTGATGTTGGAACACTGCATTGCAGGCCGAGTTGACCTAGGGGAGGCTGAGGGGAAGTTTTTTTTTATACCACTAATGATGTACAGTGGTACCTCGGTATACGTCATTAATTCGTTCCAGAAGGTAGGACTTATACCGAAAATGACGTATACCAAACAATTTTTTCCCATAAGAAATACAGGGAAAGGAAATCATCCGTTCCAGAGGAAAATAAATGATATTTTATATGGCATATTATACATTAATGGGGTTGTATAAAATAATTTAGACACTAATTACTAAAATGCATACAGAAGCCACGTGACCGCACTGCTGCCAGCTGCGCTGGTCACGTGGCGTACCTCAACCCGAGGCTCAACCCTCCATGGGGGCAGACCCCCACATCCCCCGCCCCTCTCCCCCACGTCCCCCGCCCCTCTCGCTTTGTCTCAGTCATGAATGGGGCATACGCGGGTACTGTACGCGGTGACTCATCCCGACCCACACAAGTTCTAGTAAACACATCGTATCTCAAGCAAGACGTCGTATCCCAAGCAAGACGTCGTATCCCAAGACATTTTTAAATCCTTTATATTAAGTTCACTTGTTTGCTTGCTTGCGTGCTTGCGTGCTTGCTTGCTTGCTTACGACCGTGCAAATCTTTTGGTCGTTTTTTAACCCACTTCCCGTGATCCAATTGAGCTGACATTTTGCACACAGACTCGTTGTGCGTGACAATTAATTTTCGTGAAAATTTTTTTCCAAAATTTTACACTGTTTAGGGAAGACAATCATCTGACCCATAGGTGGCAGCCATCTCAAGCCAGAGGACAAGAGGACTCTAGCCGCCCGTTTCATGATGACGCAAATGTTGACTAACCACATGGCATGAAATCCCTGCCCCCACGCTGTACACTGGAGACTATTTATAGAGCAGTTAAATTGAAGCCGCCAGGTTCTTGAAAGTGGTAAAACGGGTCAACGCTAGTGCCCTCGGGAATATACGGGGCATGTCAAGAGGTGATCTTACATATAAAGGATTTATAGTGAAAAACTTAGTTTTTACGGGTTAATTTTTTTCTCTCGAAAAAACACGACGTATACCAAATTCGATTTATTCCAAAGCGGTCGTATACCGAGGTTCCACTGTATATATTTGGGAGTTGAACCCTGTTCACTGTGATGCTGGCACTGCAAACACATGTACACTAAAGGATTGCTACAAGAGACGTGGAAATTCATTGAGTCATTGCTCGACAGGGAATGTTGTTGACAACGCGTGCATGGAATTACACGCTTAAGAATGTTTGATTCATGTGCGTTGAACTTCTTTCGCACCATTTGTAGCCAACTGCGCTCTTGCACAATGTGGGGGGGGGGGGGGAATTACTGAGTCAACGTACATTAGGCATGTGCGATTCATTCCGTGCATTGTACCGCAATCGGTTGACATAACTCCTGCGGCCACTGGAGGTGCAAAAACCGGCAGCGGCGTAAAACAAGAGGCAATTAGAGGCGCTTCTCGCTTAATGAGCGAGACACGTTGAGAAAATTGCTCGCTAGGGGAAAACTCGTTAAACGATCGTTTTCCCATGGGCAAATCGCCTGATGAAGCTGGTTGTAATCCATACTCTTGGTTCATTCGATGAAGTCACGTAGGTAAAGAAAAGAAAATAAAAGATAAAAATAAATCGCAAAAAACAGTTGCTGAAATAGGCAAAAGAGCTACAATCATCAGGGGATTATCTGCTGTGATTGTTCCCACCTGATGACGGATGCTTGTGTTGCATCCGAAACGTCGTGATTTCTTTTTATCTTTTATTTTATTTTCTTTACCTACGTGACTTTACCGAAAGGACCAAGAGTATGGATCCCTGCAGTCACGAAAACTTCAAAGCTGGTTGTAATCGCCAGTGAAACGTCGCACTCAAATTATAAATGTTGGTGGGTTTACTCTCCAACACACCGGTGTGCTGAAGTACTAATTGGCACATTTTGTCGACGTGGCAAACCTTACTAATTGGCTGCTGGGTAGTTGTGGGTTAACGACACATTTAGATTTACGCGATCTATCCCAAACATGTTTTATTAACACCATTGGTACCTCATTTGCCAGTAAAAAATATGATAATAGTTTTTTTACCCTTCTATCTGGCAACAAAACTGACACTTTTTTACGAGGAGTCATGTTTGCATAGACCACAATACCTGCAGTCATAATGCAAACAAAAAACATAACTCTGATAATGTATGCACTGTCCTTGAAGTTGATTGGTCCACACCCGAGACAGCTTTCCTTAGAGCCTAGTCTCACATGGGTTGGCGCCTTTTGGCGTCATCTGGTCCAACCCATGTGAGACTAGGCTCTAAGGAAAGCTGTCTCGGGTGTGGACCAATCAACTTCAAGGACAGTGCATACATTATCAGAGTTGTGTTTTTTGTTTGCATTCCGACTGCAGGTATTGTGGTCTATGCAAACATGACTCCTCGTAAAAAAAGGTATCAGTTTTTGTTGCCAGATATAAGGGTAAAAAACCAATTATCTGGTTTTATTATGTTTGTTAGAGGTTGCTGCAGGGCTAAATTGTGGGCAGCGCAGCTAAATCTGCTGTGCTGTACCATGCTCTTATCTCCACGTCTTCACCAACCTGAAAGACCGCATGGTGAAGTACGGTGAAATAACTTGTACAGTGTTGGCAGGCCTTTAACCAGCTTTGGACTGACAAAAGCGCTGCACGTGTACTTTGTACGATTCATGGCGTGGTTTTTCGGTGTGTTGTAGCGTGTGGCGGCGCGGGAACATATGTGCGCCGACTAGCGTGCGTTGTTGCGTGTCACCGCAGGAGGGGTTGGAATGCGACGCTCTCAATTGTACGCTGACATTGTCCGCAAAACTCGACGTGCTGTGGTCGCTGCACGGGTCCCTGGAAAACCCACAGAGGCGCGTGGTCGGGGCACGGATCATTCCAGGACGAACAAAACCAGTACGCTCACTTACTTGCCAACTCACATGGGCACACACACACACTCAAATCACTCACTATCAAACAGGCATGCTCACTCACAAGGGCAAACGCACACATAGGCCCGCTCACTCACTTGCACTCACACATACTCATACACGTGTAATGTGAGGATATATCCGGGTTGCTGATGGATCACACCTCGTTACGATGATTGGCTCTGCCGGTCCTGGCCCATAGCCAATGGGAGGAAGTCTAGGGGCGTGGCCCTGACGTAATGGGAAGGTGACATCTGTAAGTAAAGGATTGGTTCTGCTGGCTTTAGCCACAGCCAATGAGGGGACGATTCAGGGGCGTGGTCCCGGGAGCGTACGATGGAGTCTAGAAGATTCCATAGAGGTTAACCAGGATTGGTGGAAAGGTACCATGTGACCCGGGTATTAAAAGGGGTGGAGACGAAAAACACGTGGTCAGATCTGGAACGAACGGAGGGTGAGGCCACGCTGGAGCGGGGTCCAGGCTGCCACGTGGCCGCGCGTCTCTCTCTCTCCCTCTCTCCCTCTCACGCTGTCTGTCAGCAGCGTGAAGGAGTAAGATAGGAGTGTTGTGAACGAAAGACAAATAAAGACCAGATTCCAGAAGTCGCTTCCACGACCTTTATTACACAGGCACGCTCCCGAGTATGTGTAGTACAGAATGGGTCCCTGTGTCCGCATATAACTGTGTGTACTCATGTACATGCCTCTATCTACATAATGTCCCAATATACCTGGGTCTTCCATCGGAGGTTTTTGGGTTAGATCGCGTAAATATATCAATGCGTTGTTAAAAACCGCCACCACCCGACACAGCCAACTGGTAAGGGTTGTCACCTAAACAGAACATTCCAATTCGTCACTAGTACAGCACTAACCGGTGTGTTGGAGAGCAAAGCAACAATATTTACAATCTGAGTACGACGTTTCGCCAGTAATTACAATGAGCTTCATCAGGCGACAGCCAGATTTGTGGAGAAGTCACCTGTTTCGTTCCTTACATAGGGGCGTAGATGTGGAGAGTAGGCTTCTGCGCTCTTGCACAATGTGGGGGGGGGGGGGGGGGAATTACTGAGTCAACGTACATTAGGCATGTGCATTATGCAGGCCCTTTGAACGTGTCCTTCCTGTCTATTGTTTATTGAAATAGCCATACCAACGGTAATCCCTATTGAAGTACGCTGCCCTTTGTAGGCATGCAATTAAATTATGTATTTCATGATTCGCTTCCACGCAGCACTAAGGCGGTAGCTATCCGAACGGTTAAAGTTATTTTGATTTCTTTCAATTTCGATAGATTCTCTAATTAGTCTTGGCCAGTAGTAGCTAGTTTTGCACAACACTTCAACATTATCAAAATCAATTGAGTGTCCTTGTTGGCACGTGTGTTCTGCTACTGCTGACAGTTGTATTTGGGATAATTTAATATTTCTCTGATGTTCTTTTATACTCGTGCTGATCATTCGTCCTGTTTGCCCAACATAACATTTACCACACGTGCAGTTAATCCTGTACACACCTTCTGTTGATAGCTTCGGTAATACATCTTTCGTACCAGATATTAATTTCTGTTTTTTTATGTACCGTGCCAAATCGGACTCGGATGTTTTGTTTTTCCAAATATCTGGCTAGCTTATCAGTTACTCCCGCAATTTTGATCGTTTTAATTACTTGGGCAGTTTCAATGCTATTACTGGTAGGAACCACCTGGTTCCACCAGCCCACAGGGGATTATTGTGTCCGTCCGTCGTGCATCCAAAAATGGGAGGGGTGGGGCTGGGTGGAGAGGGGAGGGTGGGGAGGGGCTGGGTGGGGAGGGGCTGGTCACCCCGTGGTGCCCTTATAAAACTCAACGTTTAACCTACTCACGCCGGCTTGCGCCCGCCCTCACAGTCGGCCATATTTGCGGAATACACCACGCCGCCGTTGACCCTGGCCATTGACCGAGCAACCCAACGTTCCTACCAGCTCCCTCCGCAGGAATGTTATTTGATTTGGTTTTGGTATTCAATACCCTATTGATTTGTGCATCATTGTCACCGTTCATTTGCAGCGCTTCTTTAACATGTTGCATTTCACTTCTCAGACTCTCACCATCTCGATGAATGAGCGTCTTGATAAGAGCAGATTTCTGTGCGGGGTGATGGTGTGACTGCATTCAGATAGGCGTCAGTATGCGTTTTCTTTCGGTAAACACTGTGTTGTTTTTCCATTTCAACCCCGTCCGAGCAGAATATCCAGAAATGGCAGAGTTCTATCAGCTTCCACTTCCATGGTGAACTGGATGGATGGGTTTTGCGAGTTGAGATGATTGAGAAATGCGTTCAGTGTATCTTTGCCGTGTGGCCAGACCACCAATGTGCCATCCACATATCTAAACCAAGCAGATGGTTTTAGTGTGTTTGAAGCTATTGCTTTTGCTTCAAAATCTTCCATGTACAAATTTGCTATCACAGGATACAAAGGAAAGCCCATTGCTGCTCCTTCCTTTTGTTTATAGAAGTCACCTTGCCACAATAAGTAAGTGTTCTTTAGACAGTGTTCAGCTAGTCTTGGGATATCTTTGGCTAAACCTTTGTTCGTTACCAGAGTGTCGAGTAATTTAATTGACCCGTTGACCGGAACCCTCGTGAATAGAGAGGTCACATCAAAACTTACGAGGATATCATTAGGGTTAAGCTTAATATCTTTCATTATATTTACGAGATGTTCGATGTAAAGCTGTATTTGTTTCGTTAAGTATTGTGCTAATTTGTACGTGGCAGAGCCTATTGTACTACGGGTCTTAATGGGACATCAGGTTTGTGAAAAAAAATTTGGTAGCCCATAAAATCTTGGTGGTTTTGATGCCCTTGGTTTGATCAGGTATTGCTCTTCCTTGGGAATAGATGACTTGGCGATGATTGCTGTTGTTTTACGTTCTAAAAATCTTTGGTTTTATTATCATAGTCCTCACGGGGCATAACAACAAATCGATCAGCCCCTTATCAGCAACAATAATTTGGATATCTTTATTTGCTCCTAATTCCCTTAAGGCTTTTGCTTCACCGAAGTTAATATTTGTTTTTGGCAATTTGCTGCTCTCAATAATTTTGTCAACTTCGTGCCGAGTCATCTCAGCTTGACTATGGGGGAGATGTCTAACTGCTGATTCCACTTCAGCGATGATCTCATCGACAGGGATTGTACGTGGGGCAACAGCAAAGTTAAGACCTTTTCACAGGACTGAAACCACATATCGCTGGATAATTCAACGTTAGTCATGTTGTCACTATCTCACCATATCCCCGACATGTAACACATTGATATGGTGCATCAATAATCGTTTTCTGGGTTTACAGATGGGACATGTAACACGGGGAGATGTACCATCTCAGTTCTACATGTAACTCCGCTCCCTGTCTCGATGTACCTGCGCTGGTTAGGCATTGCCTCACCAACACCTATTTTACCTGGAATGGCACCTTCTACAAAGAGAATGAGGGTACCCCTATGGGCTCCCCCTTGTCACCAGTTATAGCCAACATGTTCATGGAAAAGTTTGAATCAGACCATGTAACTATCGCCCCTTGTCCCCCAGTGTAACATCACACGGAGCGTGCCGCTGACGCTGTCGCTGTCGCTGAGCTTCACCGACGTGACCCCACCTCGTCCAGCCACACCGCCCACGGACGACTTCTTCCTGCCGTTCATGCAGGGACGCACTTGAACGTGCGCGCACGTGTGTGGAGAGTGGTCCTGTCGTGGTTAGTGCACTTTGCTAAATACTCGGCGGCCTGCGTCTGTTTACCAGCCACGGTTAACATCGGTGGCCCATTATCTGAACTGATTCTGGTCCTCGAGAAAAGCTGGTGCCGTGTGTAAACATCAGCATTACAGAGAGAAATGCGACTCAGTGTAGTGCCGGTCACAGCAACTCATTGTGCACTGTGCTGACCTGAATAGGTTCTCGCTAACAGCACTCGTTCCTACTGGGTAAATGGGGGTCCATGCGTGTTCGTGTACACACCGTTGGCGTGTAATGATGCAGATTTCATCAGAGTTCTAACATCAGTGGTGAGTGACATCAGAACCAGTCCAGGACCTCCCCTAGGTCGACTTAGCCCGACCAGGAGCTGGCATGTTGTCAACATCATCACTGGGGTAACAAGTGACCGGGTTATGGAAATGCCACCCCTCAGTATGCCGTGCCAATCTGAATAGGCGCTTGCTAACAGCATTTGCCCCACGAGTTTGGTGTGTTTGTATGTGTGCATGTCGATATGAGCATGTCGATATGAGCACATGCATGTGTACCTATGTCCCCCCCCCATATGTGCACACGCATGTTCATATGCTTTTGTCTGAATGCTCAATTGCCTGTGATTTTTATGACAACTATATGTGATGACACCACAGACTATGCACAGCTGTCACCGTCACACAAGCCATATATTGTCACAATTAAACATGATTTTTACGCAACAACAACAAACTCAGTCTTCAACGTGTAACGCTTTTTTTCCAAGTGTCGTGAATGCGCGACTCCCAGCACCTGGGCTTAAACCCAGGACTTGAGGCACTGGGAGTAAGTACATTGACAATCATGAACTTATACTGGTAGGAACCTCCTGGTTACACCAGCCCACAGGGGATTATTGTGTCCGTCGTGCAGGGAGGGGCTGGGTGGGGAGGGAGGGGCGGGGCTGGGTGGAGAGGGGCTGGGTGGGGAGGGGTTGGGTGGGGTGGGGCTGGGTGGGGAGGGTGGGGCTGGGTGGGGTGGGGCTGGGTGGGGAAGGGTTGGGTGGGGCTGGGTGGGGATTGGGGAAGGGCTGGTCACCCCGTGGTGCCCTAATAAAACTCAACGTTTAAACTACTCACGCCGGCTTGTGCACGCCCCTCACAGTTGGGCATATTTGCGGAATACACCACGCCGCCGTTGACCCTGGCCATTGACCGAGCAACCCAACGTTCCTACCAGCTCCCTCCGCAGGAATGTGTTAGTGAAGGAGTCCTTTAGGAAAGGGTCGTAGTCCAGTTAGAGCTTAATAGAGGCTACAAGATACAATGGAATGTGTCCTGGCTGATTTGGTGCTGCTTTCTAGTAGCAGGGGACCAATCTTCATAAGACAACTATTGACTTTCCACAGCTGTGGGGCCTATTTTATTGACGGAGGCATGATGGGCTGAGTCTGTCCCCAAAGAGAATTTGGAATTCCTGATTGTATGCCAAGCACACAAGCTAACGAAACTACTGTACATATATATACTCGCACTGTGTAACGATGTGGAATCCTGCAACGTATTGCCATCAGGCGCACTGGGCCCCTTTATATTAACGTGAATTCCCACGATCTGCTTTGGGGGAAGTCACCAGTGATTTTATGTTATTCAGGGGAGACTCGGCCGTGCCATACAGATAAAGAAAATGTACCAAATTGAGGCTTGTAAAAGTATAACCCCATGATACATCGAGATATTGAATCTCAATGTCTCTCGCCTGATTAAATTATGAACACCATTGCATTTATATTCTTGGTTCTTTAGGTAAAGTCACGTAGAAGGGAAATAATAAAATACAAATATAAAATAAACCGCGACTTTTTAAATCCTTTATATTAAGTTTGCTTGCTTGCTTGCGTGCTTGCTTGCTTACGACCGTGCAAATCTTTTGGTCGTTTTTTAACCCACTTCCCATAATCCAATCGAGCTGACATTTTCCACACAGACTCGTTGTGCGTGACAATTTTCGTGAAATTTTTTTTCCAAAATTTGACACTGTTTAGGGAATTTTTTAAAAATATTTAATTACCAATTGCTTAATGCTGGCAGACACTCATCTGACCCATAGGTGGCAGCCATCTCAAGCCAGAGGACGAGAGGACTCTAGCCGCCACGCATATAAAGGATTTAGAGTGAAAAACTTTGTGTTTACGGGTTAATTTTTTTTCAAATTTTCTTGCTGTGGATTTCACACCTGATGATGATTGCTTGTGTTGCAGTCGAAACGTGAGAATTTTAATTGTTTTATATTTATATTATTTTATTATTTCCATTCTACGTGACTTTACCGAAAGAACCAAGAATATGAATCCCTGCAGTCACGAAAGCTTTAAATCAACACCATTGCATTTCTCTACAGACTTGAGTTCATGTAGAAAAACACTATTATACAAGTGCCCCTCATCTAAAGACTTACATTTGGAGGTTACATGTTCATCATCATCATTTTAACATTCAATGTTGTGATGCTCACATCTTCCGGTATTTCAAAATGAAAACTGCAGGAGCATTATTATGAACGGATTTGCACCCTTTGCGATTAACCCTCTCCCATTCCAATAACGTACGTGTGTCATCAGTTTAAAATAAAATAACTTTGCTACCGAAGCTCCCACAATGCCTTGCGGGAGGGAGTATGGCACAATTTTGTCGCCAGCTATCAGTGCGGTCATGTCGCTTCGGTTCTCTGCAGAGAGGACGTCCTTAAAAACGGCGCGATGCCCCTCTAAATAAATTGACGCTAACCGCTTGCTCGTTCTGAGATTCGGCGGAGAACGGGACCCACCCTGCAACTTGCAGACGTCTTCGAATAGGAAAGGATTAGGAGTGGATGCTGGAGACCATTCTTGTGCGTCAAGCTGGAGACTGAAGCCTGGTCTCCTTCAGCCAAGTTCCAATTAAGGCACTGTCCCAGAAACAAATTTTCTTGGGAGTGCAGTACCAAGATGAAGATCCTAAAACTGTACTGGAGCTCATCCTGAAACCCAGTTTCCAGACTTCTCAAGATACTGATAATGTAACCTGGTCTCTGCGAGCCAGATCTCATGAACACAAATCCTTTAACCCAGTGTCTTCAAAATGATGAAATCAGGTTCCGTGGTGTTGAGTTGCAAATCAAATCCTGAAATCCAAGTAACCTGAAACCAAATCTCAAAGCAAACGTCGAGAAAATGTGTCTCATGGGACCAATTTTTATGGAACCAAATCCTGATCCCAAAAATCCAGTCTCTCAACACTGATACTGACACCCAGTTTACATAGACAGCCTGACACACGGTCTCCTTCAGTTGCAAGACAGATCCCATAACCCCAGTCTCATTGAGTCTCAAGACACGGATCCAGAAAATCTATCAGAGATAAGAATCTCAATGTTGTTACAGTCAAGTTCACGAGATTTTTGTGCACGTAAAAAAGCTTGGCAATCATCTGTTACACGAGAATATCAATTTTAAAAACACAATAAATTTAAATAAAACTGGAAAATAATTCCCTGAAATGTCCCAAAACGTACACAACCAAAACAGGAACAATTAACAATGTACCTGGTAATTGTTTTTTACCCTTCTATCTGGCAACAAAACTGACACCTTTTTTTTACAAGGAGTCATGTTTGCATAGACCACAATACTTTCAGCCGTAATGCAAACAAATAACACAACTCTGATAATGATATGCACTGTCCTTGAAGTTGATTGGTCCACACCCGAGACAGCTTTCCTTAGAGCCTAGTCTCACGTGGGTTGGACCACCGACACTCAGGGACGAGTGCTGCCCGTTAGAACAAGGAGACACTGGGGGGCTTTGAGTGGAAATTACAGGGATCGCTGATCAGGAATAAAAACTGCGACCTCAAATCGAGCTGTACCTCAACTGCAAATGCTTTCATGATTGCACTCGGTCAGGGCATGGAAAGTGTGAAATACTGATAAGTGATCCCTGATGGTGGTGCCCGGGGTACCAAATCATACAATATGGCCGAGGCAATTAAATATTTTATTTCTGGGACACTTTTTTTTCCAGGGGTGTTACTTCACTCCACGATTGGGGTACCAATCAATCCGAAATCTGTGCCACTCCGCGATGTCTAAAAGCAGCAAGGACGATTGCGCTAAAACCCTGAATGCCCGCGGTACGCACCGTAGCGGTACGCACCGTAGCGGTGCATCGTGTACAGCTCGTCCAGATGAGTCGATTGCCGCATCGCCGACCAACACAGACGAAAAATGACTGCATCACGGACATTATGCGAGAACCGGGGAACTATGGTACCCTGGGGTACCGCCATAAGTTCAAATAGTTGCTGTGCCAACCAGCAGCTCGAACTAAATCCTATCTCTATCCCCAGCCCTATCCATAACCTCAACCCTATCTGCCCATAAATGATCATTCCATGCCCATTAACGTCGCCAAGACCTTGTTCCCTGGGCCCAAAAACATACTCCGATTGGTGGCAGTGGTGCTCTTTTAGACCGGGTGCAATTATTTACCCCTTCCACCGGCAATTCGATGAAGCTGTCGCAACTTAGGGTTGAGATTCGACTCAAGACTCGATTATTTTCTCGGAATTGTAGTGCACGTAGTAACCACCGGTGGTACATGAAGTATTCACTTAATGGGCTTGCACGGGCGATGTTAACCCATTGCTTGCACAATATATGAATCGAAAAACTTGATTCTTGCACGCTCAATTCAATGTTCGTAACACGAGTTCGAGAATCGATGTCCAACAGTGTGGAGATTTATCAAGCCCTATTTTTAGAGCAGCGGTGTTTTTCCACTTTATCGCCTCCAAACGCAGGTGCGGGCAGCAGTCCTGCGACCATTATGTTCCGAGGCGTGTTTTATAAAAACAAATAAATGAGACCAAATGAATGTTGTGTGTCCGCACACACAGCGAGGGTAACCACAACGATTCAACAAATAACATCAACAAACACATTCCTGCGGAGGGAGCTGGTAGGAACGTTGGGTTGCTCGGTCAATGGCCAGGGTCAACGGCGGCGTGGTGTATTCCGCAAATATGCCCGACTGTGAGGGCGGGCACAAGCCGGCGTGAGTCGGTTAAACGTTGAGTTTTATAAGGGCACCACGGGGTGACCAGCCCCTCCCCACCTAGCCCCACCCCTCCCACCTCCCCACCCAGCCCCTCCCTCCCCACCCAGCCCCTCCCTGCACGACGGACGGACACAATAATCCCCTGTGGGCTGGTGTAACCAGGATATTCCTACCAGTATAACGATAAGAGTAGGAGGCAGTTTACAGTAGCAGATGCAATTTGAACCGGAGTATAAAAAATAAAAACAAGTAAACCTGTAAAAACAAAGTTTTTCACTCTAAATCCTTTATATGCGTGGCGGCTAAAGTTCTCTCGTCCTCTGGCTTGAGATGGCTGCAATCTATGGGTCAGATGAGTGTCTGCCAGTATTAAGCAATTGGTAATTAAATATTTAATTAGTTTTCCCTAAACAGTGTAAAAATTAGGAAAAAAAATTTCACGAAAATCAATTGTCACACACAACGAGTCTCTGTGGAAAATGTCAGCTCGATTGGATCACGGGAAGTGGGTTAAAAAACGAGCGAAAGATTTGCACGGTCCTAAGCAAGCAAGCGAACTTAATATAAAGGATTTAAAAATATATTCGCCTGTGGAGGACGCGGGGATCGATCCCGCGACCTTTGGCATGGGAAGCGAGGGCGCTACT